AAGTAGTGGCAAACTTAGACCATTAAAAAAAAAAAATCTGTTTTCTTGATGTTGCCACTGGAAAAGAGAAGTAGTTTTAAAATATAACAATTCTTTCTGCTTTACATCCAAAAATACAACTTATGGTTCAAATTTGTAGGAATCATGCCAGTGATTCATTGCATGCATATGAGTAGTTACAGCATGGAATCCAAATCTTTCTGAACAGAAAAAAAGTTCTCTGACTCAATTGAGTCACCTTTTTAATAACTGATGTCTGATCATTTCACAGCCCATAGATATCTGTAAAACAAGAAGGGTAGGAGAAGATCTTCTGAGTTAAACTTCTAACTTGCACATCTATAAGTGGTATCTTGAGCAAAATTTATTTCTGAAAAGATAATTTTCTCTTTTTTGAGATAGTCCAATTAGTTTTGAAATAAAGCTATAGAGGAAAACTAAGCAGAGAGAACAAAACCAGGAATTAAACCTGGATCTGGTACTCTGTGGCTTGACTCTGTCAAGAGGGTAGTGGAAATTAGTAAGACTCTATTACATGCTAGAAGATGAGCATTTGGTTAAGGGCTTTCCTAATGGGGTTGCTGGAAATTTGAATCATTTAAAGCTGTAAATATTTTTTAACTGATTTAAGGCTTAGTGACCTAATGCACCTGAGAATGATTAAACAACTATAGAGACCTTTACAGTGCTTAGAGTCTGTAGAACTGGGTCTATACAAAAGGTATTGATGACTTGCACGAGTGTAAAATATGTCAAGTATTAGTATTTTGTATTTTCTGTGTTCGTTTTTTTTATTGCACCCTCTTAATTATCTCACACGGTTTTTTTACATGTTCTAGCTGATATTTTGAGAGGAATGACTGATGAATTTCCAGGGCAAAGAGAAAGGATGAGGATGACTTGCAGGAAGGCTGAGGGGAATAAGAGACACAGTGCAGAGGTCAGGAATAGCATCTTCCTAATGGCCGCATACATTATGCTTTGTGTCATGGCTGGTGCTGTCTGTTCTGGTAAACAGTACAGCTTGAGCTTTCCCATCCAACCACATCTTTTTTCTTCTTGGGGTTGATCCAGTGTTGAATATAGAGGCAGAAGCAATCTGTCTCCTAAGCTTTGAGGAGATAGTTTCTCATGGAAACTTTCTTTGTAAACCTCCTGGCATGTGGAAAAGCAGGATTCTCAGTCTCATGGGCACAGATTGCTGGGACCAGGATTCAGATGATTAATTTGGGCAGCAGCTGTGTATAAGAGAGTGTTTTGAGGATTGCAGAAGAAAAGGCTAAAACTGGAATGAGGTAAGTCTGTGGCTCCACTTAGGATGCGCCTGTGTGCTGTGAGTCACCGGCTGAGTGTGCGAGGTGAGAGTTATCTTGGCATAAACTGAAGTGTTTCTTCTCTTCCAGAACATGAGTCACCTGCTTCTGAGTGTATGATTTTTGTTAATTTTATGAAGTAAACAGTTTTCAGAGGCTTCAGTACATTCAAATATGTGGTTTTTACTGGACTAGCAGAGGACCTTTCAAGCAAAGGGAACTCACTCACCTGTTGGGGCCAGTATTTTGTAGTCTTTTCCCATAAACATGTCTGAGTGATCAGTACAGTGCCGGAAACATGGTCCTGCTGTCACTGCAAACTTACTCCCAGAAGTATCACTGAGTAAAGACACTGATGCAGTCAAAACTGCCAAGTTTAGTCTTTATTCTCAGTCTACTTTGGTTTATTCTCCGTACTTTGTCAGCTTCTAGCTTTGAGGGGAGAAACTTTGTTGTGTTGAAATCTGGAAAAAAAGAAGTTAATAGGATGTACTGTCCCTGGAAACATTGCGCTTGGGCCAGAAGTTGTCCTGGTATCAAGGAAGCTCCAAATTCTTAGTTTTTTCTTTAACTTAACTGGTGTACAAACTGTGAAGATAGTGGTTGAGCGGATCTGTTACAGCAGAGAGGTGCAGTCTGGGAGGGGATTGGCAGTGCTGGCAGAAGACCAAGAGAGCCTTCAAATTCTGCATGTCCTCACGGATGGTGCCACAGAGATCTTCATGAAGCTTCACATGAGAGAGGAGACGCCTTGCAACCACAATTAGTTTATCTGAGGTTTTTTTTCCTTGTTCTTGGTGGAATTGTATCTGTTTAGATGTGATAAATTACTTTCTGTGTTTTCCTTTTTACATATAAAGAGAATAGATAATGTGGTAGGTAATTCACAGGTTTTGTTGTAGATGTTAGCACAAAATATAAGTGGCTGGATTTGGTGCACTGGGTACCATATTAGATGTGTGAAAAGATCTCTCTTGGCATTGATGTGCATTTGATATGCTGTGTGATAAAAGAGGACCTATTTCAGATGGCCAGCTCCCATTTTCACTCCTTTCTCTTTGACGCTCACTGAGCAACTTAGACTTCCAGACCCTTTTCCAGATCTTGTTAGTAAAGGTTATGTTTATGTTAATGTGAGCTCAAGAGGCTGATTAGACTTCAGATCATCCATTACCTGTATATAGGCTTGATTCTGAGACAAATAGTTCACCTATTAGTAGGAATACCTACTGCTCATATCATAAGTCTGTTAGAGAAGGAATTGATGCTGACCTGGCTGGTTGCGTGATTCACCGTCTGACACGGGTAATCCTGAAGGAGCTTTGCCCGTGGCTCCATGTCTTATTCCTTCAGTCAGGCCTCTGAGGCAGCAAAGGCAAGCGGAGTGTCAAGCCCAGATGTACAGTATATGTCATCTGCACTCAGGCCTTTTTGTCAAAGGCTGTGACAAGTTACCTTCTGAAGTATATGGTCTCCTGGACACGGTATCCACCACTGAACTCTAGCAACTTGTGACCAAAGACAACTGGGATCAAGCAGACTCCATTCAGTGACATGGAAAAAAAAATTAAAAAGTAATTCTCTTTGCATTTTTCATTGCATCAGCTGAGTTTGCCTTTGACTTGGGGATTTCCACAAGGTAGTGACTTTGCCACTTGTGTCACTTGGATTTTAAAATAATACTTTTTTTGCTGCAGCACCTTAACATCATCTCAGAAGGTAAGACTGTATGCAACTAACTGCACCTTTTATTCAAAAGATATCTGTGGTGTGTGATCAACTGAACTGAATTTCTGTTTGTGATTGAAGGAGATGTAGAGATACTCAGGTTGCTCTTGCTTGATCATAAAGACCTGACAATTAAGTATTCCCAAATAAAACTGTGGCTCTGGAACCGACCTGTGATTTCAGTCCCACAGAGGTTATTTCTTGGCTGTCAGTCATTTGGAGAGTCTTGCCTTCTGCCTTCTCTCTTTCTTTTAAGAATGTGTTTGGGAAAGATTTTGGAAGACAATTCATATAGCTGCTTTTTCCTTGCTAGGCAAAATACAAGCTTTTTTTTTTTCTTTATTCCTCTTTGCTTTCTTTTCCTCATAGCTGCATAGCTGCAATTAAATATAGAAGGCATTGGGAATTTTTCTGTATTGTTCATTAATATTTGATTGGGTTAAGTCCCTTCTTTTCCTTATGATGTCTTTTGAAGATATTTCTATTGTGAGGTAATGAGAACACTAAATTGTGCATATTTTTCATCCTAAATATATTTAAACTTTTTGCTGGTTAGAAAGTATATGGTGTGTTTTATAATCTAGTATAATTACCATCATGAACTTTAGTCACTGGAGCTAATCAGTAAGTGGTTTGTTGTTACACCTGGTTGATAAGTTTTCATTCGTGGCATTAAATTCTTCCTTCTATTTCTTATTTCTCTAACTGATCTCACTCATGCTATAACAAAAAAAAACAGGGTGGTGCTACAAGGCAGGGTGGTTATTTGTTTCTGTATATAACAATTTCTAGGGAGAAAGGGGTCAGGAAGAGTTCTGAAGATGACCTGATGTTACTGTGTTATGTCCAGTGATTAGTTTTTCCACCATTAATAGCTTTTGCACATGTGTAAGTGGGACTTGTCATCTTGAGTTTTGTTTGATTTTTCAAAATACTCAACTTGTTAACCATTAGAAAGAATCATTAGGACTTACCTAAGATTGTAAAAGTCACTGGCAGAAAGTTGCTCTTAATTAGAAGTTATATAACTTTATAATTAAAAATTCTATTTTTATCATTAATACTCTGATGGGATATTTAATTTAACTCCTTCTCCTATTTCCTAAAATTTGTCACTTCCTGAAAGATGGAAAACCTTTTAGGAAAGTTGTCTTTTTCTTAAATTTCAGATTTAAATTTCAGAATAACAGATTTTAAAAGATTTGAAGTACAAATTCTAAATTAGATTACAGAAAATAAGATGGTTCTTAATTTACTCATAGAAATAGCTTTCTTTTGTATTATCATGTATTAAAGTAGTCTTATGATAGAAAAGTGAGGATTGTCTGCACATCATGGGAAAAACTTAAGAGGAGTGGGAAAGGAAAAAGGCAGGATAAGTCTTTAAATGAGACAAGCTTAAATATTCAGACACATCAAAACATTATTGGAAACAGACTTTTGGACCAATTTCCTTTTGCAGCCACGTATGTGCTCTTCCATCATCCTTGTATTTTAAGAGTGTGGGTGGAAAATAAGCATATTAGTCTGAAATGCAATGGATAGGCCTAGAGCATCATCAGATTTGTTATACTCGCCTACCTCTTTCACAGTGTTTTTATTCAACAAAGACAGTGTGACAGGTAGGTACATTTATAAAACTTGGGCAAGATTATTTTGCATTATATGTCTGCTTAGCAAGATACCACCTACATAAAACCTCATCTATATTTTTTATGGGAAACTATGTGAGTCTCTTGTGTAGGTTTATTATTTATGGGAAAAATCCTGCTTAATATCACATTTAATACTTGAATCAGTCCTCATAGTATCTTCAGGCCCAATCAGAATTAAACTCTGAAAACACTGGAACCAACAAAAATGGCTTTATAATCATGTGTATTTTGGCACTTACTCTTTCTTTTAATTCAAGTTAGCTGTGATATTTAGTCAAATACTTTACTTTGTTTTGTTTTTCAGGATGGGAAGAAGAAGTTTGACAAGGAAAGTGAGAAATATTACTCCATCCTAGAGAAGCACTTAAATTTATCAGCAAAGAAGAAAGAATCTCATTTGCAAGACGTAAGCACTAAACATACTCTTACCTAGTTTAACATTTGCATAGAGATCATGATAACAAACTGCTTGTCTTCAAGACATGCTGTATTTTGTTTATGTGAAATTGTAGTGATTTCTTGTAGTCACGCTTGTTGTGAATATTAGTTCCTGAGTGCGATTAATATGACTCTAATAAGAGTTAAATATTTTAACAAGGCAATGTTCTATGTGTCCAACTTTGTGTACTTCAAGTACAACTAAAGTTTATTGGTTGCAACAACAGAATTGTATTACTACAATAAAAATGTGACTTTTATAAGGCATATGTGCAACATTTGAATAATTAATTGCTTTTTTTGCTATTTAATTTATTACTTGATGAAATTATGCTTCTGTTTCACATAAATTTTAATCTTGGAGACTGAACTGAGATCACTTTAGTGATGCTTTTTTATGCTTCTGTTTTCTTCTTTTTCACCTTATTCTGAGATCGCAGCATCATGCCCTGAAAGTGTATCCACAACTTCAGCTTTGAAGAGTCTGTATGGCTAATTCTTCTCTGTTAAAATAAACAAACCATGAAGACTTGCAATTTAACAGGAGGATTCCAGGTTTTTCTTTGGATTCTACCAGCTTTTCAGTATGCTGGTAGAAATAATTATGACTTGTCTTTGAGGCAAATTACAGTAAACCCAGCAATTTGATATCAATGACAGTTTGGGATTTGTGCCAAAAGTAGTTAAAAATTATTTTGATGGGATTACTCTTGTCATGGTGACTCTTAAATCATGGGGATTAGTTTGCAGATGGAGTTTTCAAAGAAGATGTGACCATCACTCAGTCACAAATTGTAGAATTTTTGTTTCCATGTTTACCAATAATACTATAATTCAAATCAAATGAGGCTTAGCAATTCAAAATTTGTAATAATGCTTCTACTCCTGAATTGCCATTGCTGTCTAATAATCAGTCTAGATAAGACATTAGTTATGTAGGATTGGTTAATTGTTCCCTTTGTATGTCAAAGTTTTATATGTACAGCTTTCACTTTTCCTAAATATTCTGTGTATTGATGAAGCAGCAGTTCTGTTAGAGGCTAAAGACCAGCTGAGAAAAAAAAAATTATTGTAAAAATGTGGAAAAGTGAACTTAAGCACCACTTTACCCTAGAAAAGAAAAGAAATAAAATAAAATATTTTACTCTTGAGACATGAGAATAATTACAGTCTAAAAACAGCAACTGAAGTGAAAAGTAACAACTGTGAATCTAATAAACTGTGGTAGAATAACAATGGATTTGGCTCAAGTATATAAACTAATGGAAAACCAGGATAAATTTTTCCACTGTGTCCTTACGTGACACCTCTGTATTTAAAAATCTTGTAACTGAAGCTGAGGTTTCTGGCTTTTCTGGATGCCCCACTTGTAAAGAATCTAGGGCATAACTTGTCGTTTCTGTCTTCCCTGTTTTTATGCAGCTGTAGGTGTGCTGAATCAGCAACATAGGTGCACCGTAAGTAGAAGGTACAATAGCGAATCAGTACCAAAAATGTTAACCAGGGAGACTTTTGGCCTGTAGCTGCATCATAAATAAAAGGAGGCCAAGCACCAATTCCTGGCCCAAAATCCAAATGATAGCTGTTGCCTCACATCCAGGTTGGTTCAGGTGAGCCCCATTACACATAGCCCCTGTGTCCAGGACAGAGTTCGTTGGAGCAGCCCACAGCAGAGCCAGGGCACAAGCAACGAAACAAGCAGTGCTGGTGGCTGGGACTTTAGTTCTTAATGTAAATGAAGGGAAGTCCTTGCCTCAAGCCAACATCATACATTTGGATGACATGGGAATAGCATTTTTTGACTGCTACTGTCACACTGAAAAATACTACTTCTTTTTTAACCTGCTGTTTCTTTGAATTGTTGAGGTTTCTTCCTTGGTACCTCATCACACTATGAGTTAAAGAGTACTGGGATGAGCAAGGAGTAGTTCTCGTACTGTATTGGGCTACTTTACTTATCTCACTTGAGTGCAATTCAGAGCACCTTAATTAGGCATCTAAAGGTTGATGGTCTGAACATATTCTATAGAGAGTGGTTTGCATATGTTCATCTAATTGAATGTGTTGGATATTTTAAGAGCCTGCAAGACTGCTTATGCAGTTTACATAGATGATTAGACTTTTTTGCTTTTAGCATCAAAAATAAACTTCATATACTGTCTTTTTACTGCCTATGGAAGTCCGCAGTGGAGCAGAGAAACAGCCAGAATGGAGTGATGATTTTATTTCTCTGAAATCTCTTCCAGAATCAGGCATAAATATAGAGCAAAGGCTTCAGTTTGCAAGCTTATGCGAAGTTCTGGTATGCATTTTAGTGATATCGTACATCAGTGAAAATATTACTCACTATAACTAGATATCGTACAAGTAGACACTCAGAATCATATCCATCAAATCTTCTTATTTTTTACATGCAGTTTGAAGTCACAGAAAAATGTGTGAAAAACCTTTCAGCTTTTGAAACTTTAAAATCACTTTCAAAGTAGTTCTTCCAAATCTGAATCCTCAGTGTTCACACAAATTCATAAGCTTCTACAGAACATATAATTTGGGAATGATAATTTACTCCCTGTACACTAGTGGTGATTATGTCCTTAATTTAGGAACCCATCTGTATTTGGTGGTACTCGTCAGTTGGTAGTCATAAGTATCACTTTGTAGTAGTAAGTATCATTACAACTACAATCTGCTTAAAAGCTCTTCAGAATAGAGGTGGATTTAATTAGGTGTTTAAGTATTTTTTCTGAGTTGAAGCCTGAAAGGGCTCATTTCTAAAAATAGATTTGATTATTTGCTTACAATTAAATGTGACAGCTGAGGTCTGTCTCAAGTGCTTATTGACTGATCTTCTGTGAGTGAGGACTTGCTGGATCATGTCCCAGAGTGGTGACACCTGATTCTGTTCAGCTATGTACCACTGCCTTTGTGATAGACCTTTTGTGAAATAAAACACAGAGTAGCAAAAAAAAACCAGTAGCCAAACGCACTATGTGAATGGCACATGGAAGAGTTAATTCTGTGGTAAAGCACTTGATTATTGGAATTTTGAGAGCTTTATTTCTGCTTCATAATATTAGGTTTTGTACTTAATTTTCTGATTAGGTTTTTATAGGCATGGGAAGGAATTGCTAGTACTGAATCATTTGAAACATATTGTTGAAGCCCATGCTTTGAAGTAGCGCTAGAGCATTGCACTAGGGAAGTGGATGAATATTGTTAAGAGCTGTGTGGCCAAATCATGATACTAGCTTATCCTTAACTAAAGAAGCGATGTTAATGATATATGGTACTATTGATGACCAAGTCCTGCCTGAAGGAAAACACTGACTTTTTGCAATTGTACTGTTAAAAGTACTAAACCTCTCTTATGATGTGTTTGCTGTTTTAATGTTTGCTATCAAGGAAAGGCAACATCTGGCTTTTCCAGTTCCCATATTTGTTATTTGTAATGCTGGAATTGAACTAGAGGATATACACAACTGGCATACATCAAAAATAGCTAGACTAGGCTTACTCATATTGCCGATGCTTGATAAAATTTCTTTTTGACCTAAGACCAAAACCTAATTAATGCAGCCCAAAAGAGATTTGCTTGAGAAAATTATTTGTTACAAAGATGGATGAATTAAAATGAAATCTGCACCTCTTCTTTAGACATTATCCACATGTTAGACTGCTTGTCTGTTAGGTCTCTCTCCTAAATGGCTTGTTTAAATTGAAGATAAAAGCCTATTACTCTTTATCAGCTGATAAGAGTTAATTCTTTAGTTGTTTAGGCAGAAGACTATTTTGGTGCTGGATCTTCATGTCGGGTGGTATAATTCAGGCACTTCTGACAAGTACTGCCTTGTAGTTCTTGCATCTGAAAATTAAAACATGAAAAATAATTGATTTATGAGGTTAAGGACTTAAATATGTTTATACTCCAAGAGCATGTGACTCACACTATGAAATAATAAGTTGCAAGATGTCATTGTTAAAGACAGTCTGTTTAAGAAAGAAAATACCGTCTGGGGAAGGTATTTGAAGCTGAGAAATAGATACATTTTGGTGCATGTGATACTCAAACATTTCAATAGAAATACTAATCTTCTTATCTCTCCTTAATTCCTATCCTACTCGCTTCTATTTCTTTTTCTAAACTTTCCATATACCAAGGACAGAATTGCTGCCACCTTTCTTTGTTTCCCTCCAGGGTTTCTTAAAAACTAGAATATTTAAGTTGCAAAAAAGAAGAGGAAATCAAAAAGGTGTGAGGGAAAGGCATGAGGCTAAAATGTGTAATGTTAGCTTCTTAAACTTGTGTTTATCTGTTTTAAGTAGGTATTCTAATTTTTAGGAAGAAAACTGAACCCCATGAAGCTTGTAAAGTAATCTTACGGAAGATCTGTTTGTTACTGACAAAATTGTTTTTAAAACAATCATAAGAGTAAATTAATGTGCTCTATATTTCATTTTGTCTTTTAGGCAGATACACAGATTGACAGAGAACATCAAAACTTCTATGAAGCATCATTAGAATATGTTTTTAAAATTCAAGAAGTACAAGAGAAAAAGAAATTTGAATTTGTTGAACCTGTAAGTTTTGTTTTCTTTAGAATGTATGCATTTAAAGCTGAAATTTTAATTTAAAATATGTATTTGCTCGCTTTTTAAAATTGTGATCGTAGGTTGGTTGTATATAGACAGACATTAAGATTTTGGCTTGGACACTTTCCGTGTTTATTAAAAGGTTTATGTATGAATATCATATCTACTGTGAAGTGAAATGTCTGATGACTTGGAGTGTGCATAACATTTTAATGGGACAAGATGTAATATTGTGTCTGTGCAACACAGTGGATGTTTCCTAATACCATGGTTTCATGGCTGAAATTTTGAGCCAGTTTTTTGATTTAAATATTCCATGTAGGCAGTGTATGCATGTTTTTCCAAGTTATACATGAAATAAAGTGAAAAATCAGGTTTTGTGTAGGGTAGGTGAGTTTATTTCTTTGTTGGTGGAATCATTTGTCTTTAGTTGACTTTGCACATACAAGAAAGCATATGTTAACATGCCATAAAAGAGGAAGATACGGTTGTGTTCCAAAGTCCGTATTTAGATCTGCTATATTCTCCTGGATGGTGTTTCTGCCCCCCATTCCTAACTATCTTCTGGGTCAGTCAGTACCAAAAGCTGCTTCAATATGATGTGCTAGCATATTTCTGTGGCATATTAGTACTATTACTACTGTTCATGTCATACAGGACTAGCTTGCCAATTGCCTTAGTTAGTACCTTTAGCCCTTGACAGAGAACTTCCAATGTCATCTGTCCCCTCCCGTTAAGCATACTGAGCATAGCAGAGCATCAGTTGTGAAAGAGGAACATGACAAGTATAAATTTTTCTCTCTCTCTGCACCATCTTCCAGCTTCCTTGTAACTAACCAAAGCAGCACTCTTGGCTGTGAAACAGGTTGAATTACATCTCTTAACACCCAATGTCACCAAGAAGAGCTTCTCAGATGCCTCCTTTCCATGAGACGAGAATGTATTGTATAGTGAATGTTTGACGTTGATGCAAACTAATGAACCTGGATTCAGCAAGCAGTACTTAGAGAAATCCTATCTTTATGGCATACAGCTGCCAAATCTTAGAGACTAAAACTTTGCTCGGATTCCGAAATAAGAACATTTTTCTACCTGTCACAGATTAATCCAGAGTGTCTCTCTCTGTCTACTGCTGCAAAATGCTCACATCCTGGAAGAATCTAGCAATCTTGACCTAGCTCTGAACCTGGTGTAGGACCTCCTTTAAAGTAATAGAAATTTTCTGTATTAAGAAGACTTTGTACATTGGGATATATTATTGTATAATTGCATATAGTTAAAATAGGGCATCCTTCATCCCATGTGCTAGACAGAGAGGAAAAATAAATTTGATTTTATATATTTTAGCTGCAGATACTGAGGTTTATCCTTTTGACCAGGAGCTGTCCCCACACTATGCCAGCCATCACAGCACTAGCTATGAATTAGCAAAATGAAAGAGTGCTTTATCAACTCATCAGTGCTGATACTGAGCAAGCAAGCAGGGGAGGTTACTGGTAAACTCAGTCTTGTGGACCTGGGTATTTTTGTCACCAGGTGTACACATCCAGTAGGTAAAATTCACTTTTGAGTGGATCAGTTGTCATCCTATGCCAGATCAGTAGGCATTTTAGCCCAGTATGCTGTTCGTTGCACACAGGTACGGGAAATACTCTGGTGACTGGGTAATGATAGCCCTTGCAGGCAGTGTCTTCTGGCTTCAGATGTGATTTTTTTAATAATAAATCTGAATATAAATGGCGCTTAAATTATAACATCAGTTATAAAATTTTGAACCTTCAATATTCTTAATTTTTTTGTTTCTAGTCTGTTGCATACAGCATGCTGAAATAAAAGCATTTGCTAAAACCCATAAGGCAAAGTATGCCAAGTAAATTATAACACCATGAGACAAAGAAAAAAAAGTCTTCAGAATAGGCTTTCTAAAAATGCATGGTTTATGTAAGTGATGTTGGAAGTATGAGCATGTGCTCCTAGGTGCAAGTAGATAACAACAAAGCCTAACACTTTAAAGTCACGTTTCAAAAGAATTGCCATATTATTCCTTTTCCTCTGTGTGCTCCACGGATGTTCAGATGCTAGAAGATGCCTGGTGGTACGTCTATAGACATTCCTCCTCAGGAGTTCTGCTAGTTGTGGGGCCTTCTAGTCCATGTGCTGCTCGTGTCTGATTTATCAGCTCAGTGTCATGTCTCCATATAATTCAGTCTGACATGTTACAAATAGACTCTTGGAAGGAGATTTTAACAAAATAAAAGAAAGGCTGTTAGTGCAGTGAAGGAGGAAATTGCGATGCCCGTGTGGAAGAAAGATAAGTTCATGACATGGGAATAGAACTTCAAAAGCAAATGATCTGCTGGAGCTCCTTCCGAGATCTTCAGTTTGTCTATGCCAAAAGATAAGGATGGTCTGGGAACCAGAGTGGGAGAAGTAGCCTAGAAAAACTGCCAAGTGGGTTACACCTGGACAGTAGGACAGTAGAAGTTGGTAAGAGTGGAGAATGTTCCTTCCTGGAGGAGAGTGGGGAGACATTTTAAGGTACAAAATGTTAATGACTCATGCTCAAAATAGAGGATTATAATTTAGAGTAGACTTTTGCAGCTGCTCCAGACCCTGGATTTCTCTGCTGTTCTCTGCATCTAGTCTCAAGGAGTCATTGTGTACTAGAGTGTGAGTAATGGACAGCTGCCTATTTGTGATCCTCCTAGATCTTGATTTTTTTTCCAAGGAAAAAAAACCCAACCTAAAGCTTTTCGTACAGATCATGAATTTAAACTTTTTCTCAAGGATAGATTAGTGTTAAAATTTAGTTTACAGTGAGTTAAACAACAAAACAAAGGAAGTGACAATAATCTCTGCTCCTGGCTTTGCCCTTGTGGGCCCAGAGAAGATAGTCCAAACCAGCGCAGCTTTCTGAGGATGTTACGGTTGTTAGGAGAAATACAAACTCCTTCTGAGAGCTCCACTTTGTCCCTCAGCAATGCCAGGACTTCTTTGGCCTGTAAGCATCAGGGCGCAGAGCTCATAAGCAGTAACTGTCTGAAATGTGAGGGTGGTCCTTTAAACGTCATGAAAGCACAGAAGTGTTTATTTAAAGAAAAAAAACAAACAAACAACAAACCCTGCCTGTAATTGCATGCAGTTCCATGAGACTTCACTGTGGATGTTAAACTCAATTTCCTCTTCCTTGGATTTTCTACATTATTAACTACATTCACTTTAATCTGATGGCTAAGTACCTTGTGGTGCTATCTACTTATAAATAAAATGAAACCAGGGAGACAGGGACTTCTGGCTGATGTGCTGCAGGCCAAAGGTTAAATTCCTCCCCTATGCGAAACCTAAGTACAGCCTTCTTCCTGTGAGAATGAAATGACCAGGCAGTCTTGAGGTCACCAGATCTACATAAAAATAAATAAAGTTTGTTTCAGGTTCTGTGTTGAAATCCTCATGCCGCTGGGGTAGCGACTAACATTGTATTACAGAGTTCAGGCCTTGCTTTTTATTGATGTGACTGATTAGATTTCAGATTGAGGTAACTATAAGGTACTTGTTGAAATGAAAAATTGTTGATATGAACACATCAGGCATTGTCTGTGGTGCTTGGTGAAGCAGTTCACCTCTTCACTTGTGAAGACCACCTCAAAGTACATTCTGAAAATCTTTTTTGAAAGAAAAAAGGGCTGTTTTTCTTTATTATTTAGTATAAATGTCTTTAGGATTATGAGCCTGCCTTTAGCAGCAGTGCCACTTGTAACACCAGCAACAAGAAAACCCCACTGTGAGCATAAGCCTAGGGCAAAAGTCCTTGGCTTTTAGATCTCCTCCATGCAATGCTGTGACTGTACCTGTCCTGATGGAAGTGATTATGAAGATGCCTTAACAGCACAGGCCCGTTGGGTACAGGGCATTTTCTGATCCCTGTTCTTCCACCACTAGTGACACGTACATAGAAGCAAATGCCATCCTCGGTGTTAGTTGTTTCAACACAGAATTTGAACAAGCTGGTCCAGGACTTGCATAAAATAAGCACAAATTAAGTTTTGCTTTTCTTTTATTCCTATTTTTCTAAGTGCTCAGAGAGTATTTGACCAAGAGAACCTCAAGGCCAGATCCTCTGCAATGCACAACTGCCAAAATGCCTGAGCAGTACTTTAACTAAAATGCATTCAGATTTTTCTGAAGGTTTTTTTCTGGCACTTTTTTGCTTTCTGATAAATTCAGCTTTGCTGCCATCTTGTGTTAAATATTTTCCTCTTCAGTATTTCTCCATGTACTCCATAAAAGCATTTTGTATGGTGGAAAATGGTTTTCTTTAAGTATTGAAGCTGAAATTTAAACAGTTTATAGTACATTCTCCAGAAATGCTCTTTAAACTGATCTTTAAAGTTCAGGCATAAACTGACATACTGAAACTTTCTCCCACTAGTTCCTTTATTGTAATTCTGGTGTGCTCCAACATGCTCTGGCTGCAGTTTTGCTGAGCGCCCATATTGCTCCCGCAGTGCAGCTTTAGCTGAAAGGGGTGGATTTACCAGCAGGTTCCTACTTACAGGTTAAGTTAATCCACATCCTTTCGACTGAAACAAGTCAGAGTAAGCACAGGAGTCCTTATGCTGCTGTTATCTGAAGGAGCTGTAGTTCGGGAGGCAAATGAGTAACTGGATCTAGACTGTTGGCACGGGCTTTGCACAGCTGGAGCAGAGTCTTGGCTATAATTTAGTTACTTATTTTGTACTTTATTCATTAAAAAGGAAGATTAGTTTTCTTTCTTTTCTTTTATGTAATTCTTTCTAGAATTACATTATAAACCTTAAAATTGTAGAACTCTTTCTAGCTGTTTACATAATTGGAGATTTTAAGATAAATTGTTGTATTTGGACCTTCCTCAGAACAACTTGAATAACCAGTAAGAGACTTTCAGGACCAGGTCCTTAGCTGAGATAATGGTTTTAGCTGGGCAGATGATCATGTAAAGCTGAGAGAGTTTACAGAAGCTGTGAAGCCCTTCACTTGACTGTGTTGCCTTCATTGTTTGTTTGGTGGTGAGATGCAGTTCAGGGATTCACACCCATTGTAGAGGCCTCACAAATAGTGGCTTTTATGTCCAAGTTTCTTCTCAGTTCTTCAGGCTCCATGACCTGGGCAGGTACCTCTGCCCAAGGCCAGGGTTTCAGCTGATCCTGCAATACCAGTAAAAAACAAGGGGGAAGTCCTCCCAGCCATGCCTTCGTGCTTCTCTTTGTGCCAGTACTGATAGTCTGTTAACCTCAGACTGCTTTAACTTACTAATGCAGCAAAACAGCAGGCTTTCCGAGGCAGACATGCTCACCGAAGGGCTCCGTGATGTCAGAGCTGGCACGAGGATGTGTGGGATGCATGACAAAGCTGTATGGGGAAAGGGAGGAGGAACGGGAAGGGGAGAGCAAGACGCAGTCTGGTAGCAGCAAGTCATCATGTTAGCTCCCCTGCCCAGAGAGCTGCATCCTTGATCTTGCTCTCATCTGTCAAGCTGCAGAAGTTTGCACATTAAATGTGTGGAATGTCTTGCAATGATGGAATAGAGGGGGCTCTAAAATTGCAAAATATTGTTTTAGCTATTCCCCTGAAATATGTGTCACCTTAGTACAGTAGTCTCTTAGTAAGCAATAGGAAAGAGGGAGGCAGAAAAATTTAAATGCATTTCTTCAAGTAGGGCTGAGTGTAAATTTAAGGAAAATATAAACACAGTAAAAGCTACATTTTTAAGCTGTTTCACTTACAATAATATATGGGACTGGTAACACAAAGAAAAGTGCATTAAATACAAATGATGGCATTTTTGTTGCCTGAGTCTAGGCTACTTCAATATCAATGAAGAGAGTTAAATGTTTCTATTGGATCATGCATCTGATCCTGAAAGAGAGGTCTGAAAAAGAGAAAAGAATTATGCTCTTGAATACCTGTGGTTTTTTTACTGAGTTAGGAGGCAGCTGGACAGCCAGTTACTTAGCCTAGATGACGAGCTTTTCAATGGCTGTAATATACTAAGATAAATCTGTCCTGTTGTTATAACTTTTGTTATTGTACATGAAGTTAATATCTCTTTTTTTGTTGTTTTCTTTACTTGGTTGTATGTAAGTGAAATTATATATACAAAGAAAACAGTCCATAAGAAAAAATTAAATGCTTGTTATTTAATAGCAGGTAAGAAGACTTACGGCAATGTCAAAACATTTTTTAAATTTAGAACTGAATAAGTTTAGAAGGCTTTTACAGCTAATATGTGGTAGGAATGCATTAATTCAACAGCTAAAATAAGCATTCAGAAAGTCTAGTTGCACTTTTTACTACTTAAACATCATTTTAAAGCAAATTTTAAAAAGAATTTTCAACTGGGTATGTACAGCCTTTACAGCCTTCAACTGTACTGTTGGAGTCAGTTACAGACATACCAGATAGAGTTTGCATTTTCTTCAGAGCAGGAAGAAATAGTCTGGATTTCTTGTGTTGTATTAAGCTGTCCAAAACATACTTTTAAGAGTCTCATTTGTAGAAAATAGGTCATAGCTGAAGCAATTGCTATGAAGAAAGTGAAAAAATATTTTGAAGAAAAAGAACTTGAACTCTGAAAGTATGAACTAGGAAGATGCACACCATCAAAAACTCCAGCTAAAATACTGGACAAAATTACTAGGACGGTGAATTAAATTATTAGGAAAATGACAACTTCATGACACAAAAGCCTGTTTAACACCTCTCTCTCTTAAGGTCTGACCATGCATTCCTTGCCCAGCAAAGCTTTGCTGTTGTGAGTAATGAAAGCTTAGAGTGTTCCAGGAGCTAAGACACAGAATGTTTTTTGCTGATTGTTTGCCATATTTTGCTGCTGAAAACTAATAGAAAATCAAGTGTCCTTAGCTTTTGCTTTCTAATATTCACCTGAATAGAAAAAGTGCATAGCAATTGCTAAGAACTACTTTTTCACTATTGCAGACAATACCTATTCCTTATAAGTTAGAGTATGTTCTGTTTGTGGTATAGAGCATTAAAAGCACATGTTAAAAATATATAATGCTTCTCAATTTTACCTTTTCAGCTCTTGGCCTTTCTTCAAGGATTATTTACATTTTACCATGAAGGGTATGAATTGGCTCAGGAGTTTGCACCATACAAGCAGCAACTACAGTTCAATTTGCAGAACGTAAGGATGATTTGTATTTACACCATTTTGTTTGCTAATTTAATTTCAGGATATTAAAGTAGACTTGTAGCACTTTATTGGAACTCTAAATCTCGCAATGTTTTAGTAAGATGAAATTAAATTAATATATGAATAAGTAAAAGTTATTTTTGGTAAGGTTAATGTAATTAAGATTCCTGTCAAAAATAACTTTGGAAAAAATAGTCTTCAGATAGTCAATTTGTGATTTCCAAGTCAAAATTTTGGGAGCGAGAACCAGAAAAGCAGGACAGCAGCCAAGTTTTGATCAGCAAACACAGTAGTCCAGATAGGTTTAAACATGTGTAAGTGCTTTCTTGAGAGTGGGGCCTGTCTTCTGGAGTAAGTGGGTATCCCAAAACTGCTCCAATTGGTATAGAATGATGCAGTTTGTTTCTTTAAGATCACAGATTGCCACAAAAAGCTTGTCCTGCGCTCTGCTAGCTTCCCACTGTATTTAAAGTATACTGGGGAAGCAGTTCTTTGGCTGTGCTCTGGAGCATCAAAGAGATGGTGAGGCCTTCTTCCATGGTGAGCAGCTCTCACAAGCATTAAGTTCCATCAAAAGAAAGGATCAGTTATTTATGTAGTTACGCTCAACTGAGCAGATGGATCTTTTGCTGTGTACCGGTCTGAATTTGGTGGTAAGAGCCAGATGAGATTAACTGTGCCCAAAAATTCCATAGCTTTCAGAAATAACAAAAATGCATTGAGTCAACATAATTTTCCACTCATCATAACTGCTGTATACAAGCATATATTTATTTCACTGTGTAATTCAGATGTTACACTTCCAGGGCATACAAGTAAGTAGATACACAGCATCTTTATACCTGATTTGCATTAGAACCACTATCATTTGCTTTTAAGTCAAAAAGTGAAGTTCAACATCTTAATATTGGGCTAGACCTACATTTTTCTTGACAAGTAACATCAAAGTACAGAACAAATAAAAAAAAAAAGTGAAGGAGTTCTATCATTTGCTCCAAATGCTGTATCTTTGGGGTGACTTCATCTCTTTTCCGTTTCATTCCTGCAATAAAAGATATTCACCCAGCAGTAATTTTTGTAGCTCCACTACAGTCAAAGAAGCTACAACAGTTTAGAAGATCTGACATCAGCTTTTGTGGATAGTGCCTTGGCCAGTGAACTTAGGAAATATGAAACAGGTCTGGGAGTACAAGAGCACCTTACTATGCTCAACTGTTTTTCCCTGTGGAAAATAAAACACTGACATTTTCCCTGTTGCATCTTGCTATTAGAGAGGCATATGTTGGCTCAAACTTGGAAGATGGCATTGCCTTAGCACTGATAATGTAGATCTACATTCTTAGGCGTACTGCACTCTTCCAGGTTTTGCTGCAGTTAAACATGTACAGCACACCTCCATAGCCCCCTCCCCTTTTATGTCTGTTGTTCATATGTAGGTATAGATGTCATTTAAAACGCTGCTTAGGGAAATAAGGCAAAACCTCCTAGATGATTAACCTTTTCCTTTTGGTTCGAAATGCAGATGTCCTCTGTCTGTAGAGCATCTCAGCCTTCTCCTTTAAAATTATGTATTTGCTACTTTCGGTTTGCTACTAAGACTCTTCCAGATAAAGGCACAAGGGGTCAGTGTTGTTGCACAGCACAGCTTCAGTGAAAGGGTGAAAATGTGGTTTAGTCCGGAGATTTATTTACTTTAATATGGCAAGTTCTGAGAGGAGCATGAGCCCACAGCACAGACCAAAACTGGCATTGTAAGTCAGAATATGTTAGTATCTTCTATGCGCATATCTATAGAAACAGAATTATTAAAGGATTTTTTAAATTTCAATGTTAATTAAGAAATAGTTAAATGTAATCTCTTCTCAAATATTATATAAGTACAACTTGAAGTTGTAAATAGACTACAGAGGTAGAGGGAGATGTAAAGTTAGACAGAAGGAACAATATATTATGATATTATTTTTTACTATATTTATATATCAAAGAAACACGTACATGAAGATATAATGGGATACACTACATCATTCACCGCTGTCACACAGAAGTTTGAATTCTGGCTCCAGATCTAGATCCACAGCTTCCTTTTGCCAGCTGGGCTATCTACTGACTTTTCATTCAGACCATCAACCGACCTCAGATGGTATGGAAAGACAAGCTGAGGACAGTGTCCAAGGAAAATTGTGTTCAACCTTTCTGTTGTAGCTGTCAAAAGTATTCCTCTCCATTGCATTGTGTGTTAAGGTCTGGGAGAAGAGCTGATCTGAACTGCTGTTTCTGTTCTTAAAATTGTCCTATTGGATAGAGCAGGAGCAGTAGCAGACATAGGAGTAGCAGAGAGTGGCAGACCAACAGGTCTTAACAAGTCACCATGTCCTAACATGACCTGTTGCCACTTTTACTGTTTCAGCTGGCCAGTGGTGTACTTTGTATGTCCATTTGGCTTTGTTTTCTGTAATTTGTTTCAAACTCTTGGCTGCTTAAAAGTAGTAATTAAAAACTTAGTAGACAAACAGAGATAAGTTCTCAAAATAGAGACATTCCCCCCTTTAATAGCATGTCCCTCTTGAAGGTCTCACAGTGACCTCTGTCAACTTTGGTCTGAACTGATAACTTCACTCTAAGGATATAATCTGAAGAGTTCAGAGAAGAATTTTGCCTCCCTCTATAATAATAATGTTTATCTTCAAGAAGAAGATTTAACATGTGTATTATTATACTACTATGCAACTCCATGAATGGCCCACAAAAAGGGGAAAGTATTCACCAGTGTATAAAGTCCTGAGAGTATCTTTCTGACTAGTCAGGATTAGAGTCCATAAGACTTTGCAGAAACATTACAAAAATCTTTATTCTATTCTATGACCTGTAGGAACAAAGTGTTCAACATATGGTATATTAGTAGCACCCTGTCAAACCTCTGGCAGCTCATAATAATTATCCTCTACTATACCGTGCTAGGTGTGTGGAGGGAAACCCTGGCACCACTGAATTCAATAGGAAAAAATGCCCATTTACATGCATATAGATACTAACAAATATGAATAACCCATCTTTGTACCTAATTGCTTCCTTGGCCAGATGCCTGGTTACACACACGATATTTAGGACAGACACAGTCCTTGCATGCTTTTGGCATAGTTCTGCCCCTTGTAACCTGTTTCTTACTTAGTATATTTATGTTATCCTTAACTATGGTGTTTGCATAACCCTGTCAAAAAAATGTTCGTGGCAGTGCTGGTAACCTGACGATTCCGGGTATCAGCAGCTGTGGTAGTACTGCAGAGATGGATACACAGTACATTTGTCTCTTCCACGTGTGGAGAGACCACAGCTGTATGGAGAAATTAACCTGGCATTAACCCAAACTCATGTTTTCTGCACTGTACTTCAAGTGGTTCAGTGGGACTTACTCCAGGCTTGGTGCTATGCTATCAGCAACTTCTTGTTCAGCCTGCCTTCTGTCTATGTATCCTAGAGTACACGGAGAGAAATCCTGCATCTGTTTGCTAAATACTGTGTGAGCATACCTAAAGATAGGAAAATACCTCCTTTCTGAGGTTAGTGACTTGCAGAAAGAGGAATGTTACTATTCTCAACTATGTTTTCTTTACACTTGTGTGCTTAAGTGGAATTCTTCATTACTCTGTTATTCCTAGGTTTCTAGAGCAATAGAGAGTAGTATTCTTCATTGCTTTTTTTTTTCCCCTTTTATGTCTCTAGCAAATGCTTCTGTTTATCTGCAATACAGTCTCATTGGCATTATTAGTGATTAGTTCTTCATTGTTTTTTAGTACTTGCAGGAGATAATGTGGGTTTTTGTTTGTTTCTTTTTTCTGGGTACTAGACCCGGAATAACTTTGAAAGCACTAGGCAGGAAGTGGAGAGACTCATGCAAAGAATGAAATCAGCCAACCAGGATTACAGACCACCAAGCCAATGGACAATGGAAGGCTATCTGTATGTGCAGGAGAAACGTGAGTAAAACGGATGTACCTTTTAATTTGAAAAGCACAGCAACAAATGCAAGGACACACAATACCTTTGTGTTTGAATGTCTCCAGACTTCATCTGTGCTTGCTTTCCAAGTGATTGAGAGGTTTGAAAGAAAAATAAGTGTTTAACTTTTCAAAAAGCACTCAGAGTCACTACAGTCAGATGGAATGGTGATCAAAACACTTGTAAGCAACTGAACTCCTGCTCCTTGGGTCCTTGTGGGTAGGTCCCTGCTATTGGCCACCCCAGTGGCTGACTGGTAGCAAGGTCTGCTCTGGCTGGCTGCCCTACACCTTGCTGCAGAAGCTGCAAGCTCCCAGCATTCTGTTTTGGTTCTGTCTGCCAAACCTTGCTGTCTCCTGTACTTTCTCCGCCTGAACAGGACCCCCCATAGTTCACCCAGCAGGAGCAACTTCCACCTGTACCAGGGATCTCCACTGACCCAGCCACCTTAAGAGTAAATGCACATGATGGAAAACAAAGGTGTAAGAAGAAGAAAAGTCACCTAAATACAGTCTGTCAACTTCAAAATAGCTGCAAATCTATCCTATGTTTTATTCACTTCATGAGACATGACAATGAAGTGATGAACTAAATGAAGGAATAGAACTGAAGTTGTCATAAGTGTCTGAAACTACTTGGAAGAGCCTAGCAATACATCATGTTATGAATGAAAACAGAACCAGGAAATATGTGAAAAGTCAAATGAGAGAATTCAAAACCATATGTCACCTGAAGTGTCAGCTGCCACTGTTTTACAGTCTAACCAGTACAGAAAACCAAGCCCAAACTAGCTGCATTACACAGGATCATGCAAAATCCTCATCTTTCTATTTGCTGTGGAATCAGCCTAACCCTAGAAAAGTATATAGCAATGTTTTGAGATAGTGTGTACATGCTTGTGCAAGTTTGATGTTCATGCAAAAATTACAAAATAGAACTTTGCACCTAATTTCTCAATCTAAAAATAAATAGAAGGCATCTGGATATACAATCTCCATGTCAGACTTGACCTCAGACAGCCTCAGTTTTGAAGATATCTTCTTTTAGATAATAACTCAAGAGACTACATGGAGTTATAGATAATTGGTTTTCCAAATAACATAATGAAATTAATCTTTATTCCACATGTGAGCTAAAAGAAAGAAGCCTCAATGCTTATCATAGTTAACCTCCGCCACTTTTACCCTCAGTAGCACTGAAAGTTTTAAGAAGACCCTTTATGTTTTAATTGAGTAATGGTGATAAAAGAAACCAGTGTTAAGTGGAAATTACACTGAGCCCTGCTAATGGGGGAGGGAGAAAAGGAGTGAAGCATTGGGCACATTCTGTGCTTTATTAAACAGAGAGAGGCCAACTTGACATCCTCTTACTGAAAAGAAATTCGTTCATTAGTTTATTCTGGAGTAAGAGTAACAGGGTCTGTAACCTCTGTCAGTGGGGAAGGTACTAGTTGTGTATTTCCTTGTCATGCAGGTTTACTTTCCTACAACCATCATTCCATAGGCTTGTGTCAAATTTTGGGCAATTGGGTTAAATACTTGCTATTCTTGAGAGTAAAACTAAATCCCGTATATATTTATTAGTGTTATGCGTAATAGTAAATAGTGGGTTTTTTAAAATGTCAGGAGGCCATAAATTGTTTTTATTCAGATGGATGGTCAGAGTAACAGGCCTGAAGTTGCAATGTAGGTTTCTGGCCACAATTTTTATTGAAAAACAGGTGACTTTTAAACTCATCTAAAACAGCTTTGAGAGTGTTCATCCTTCTTATATATGCTAAAAGAGTTAATGAAATGCCATCAGAGGAAAAATTGCTTTAACATTATTATAGATTTTGTTTTGCTAAGTGAAAGTAAGTTACAATATAAGAACAGAACAGCTAATTTCTGAGGCTGGATACCCAGTTGACTTGCCAATTCATGACATTACTTTCCTGCAAAATACAGGCAATGGGAGAACTTTCTCCGAGTTGCCGTTACAGATGATATAAATTTCCACATCTCCCTTTGTGGATTGCCAGACATCTGACTTACATGACTGATGCAGCCTCCCGTATATCCACCACCTTTGTGGAAGGCTACCTTTAGAAGGCAAAGTCATTGTATCTATACCAAACTACTAGGTTTGGTTTTAACACCTTCCATTTTTAATTAACTGTTTACATTTTTTTTAAAAGCAAACACAAAATCCCTAAAATACTTCTTTTTTTTAAACTCTGAGTACTTTCATTTTAAAAAGAATTAAAAGGTCCAGATATACTTTGTACTTTGAAAAATCAGTATAATTTTTTTTCCTCTTTAGTAACTTCCATTGAAATGAATTGGAAAATCACATGTGGGTTGAAAGTATCATCTAGTCGTTTCCTATTCTGACTTTGCACAGTAGTTAAAATACTGCATTATATATATGTATTTTACTTTGGCTCCTACATCTGTGATAGCTCTGCAGAGAGGGACCGTGTTTGAAGCATAATGCTGTCCAAGAGGAAAGAAACACTTTTCTTTCTTGGTACCTCTTCACACACAGCCATTGTGTTTGCTATCTGCGACTGAGTACCCAGAAGCTCTGTCAATGCTAGTAAAATAAATGGGGCTGTACTCTGCCAGGGAGACTAGCTTGCACAGACTATTACACCATCTATGCTAAATTTCCCATCCTCAAAAATCAAGCAGCTTTGTCCAAGTTCTCTACTAGCTATGTGTTACCTAGCGAGCGTTGGTGCTGCCGGCACTGTTTGTTAACTGGTGCAGTTATAGCCATAATGTTGTGGCCCAAGGGGGAGCAGTCACACTGCAAAAACCTGAATTATCCTGTCCTCTGCAGTGCACTACCCCTCCAGACGTATCTGTAAGAATCTTGGGAGCTTATCTTGTTCTCTGTGCTATAGTAAACTTTTTTTTTTCCCCAGAAAATTCTGAGATATCTTAGTTGTACTTCTAGGATGTGGAGAGAATTATGGAAATGGTAGGAGGATTTACTATGTGTCCTCACAGCAAAGAACACATTATAAGTACCTGTATGTAAGCTAGGTTAGCGGCTGAAGTTTAAAATGCCATTGAGCTTAAGCTCAAGAGGGTTTTGTATTTAGATCAGTGAATAAAGGTTCACAACAATGCCTGAGCAAAGCTTGAGGTAATCCAGGAGTGAAAACATCTTTCTGCATCAGAAAACCTATACCTTGTAGTAGGATTAAGTAGTAGTGTGGTGTGACCTCTCCAGGATAAGGCATACATCCACTTATTTGGAGATCACTGTGGATTTCATGTATGGCTATCTAAATCAAAGACTAGTAAATCCATAAGTACATTATACTTTGGTCTTGTGAGTGTGTGCAATTGTCAGTTTGTGGACTTTGTCAGTTGTGCGCCACTGTTACAGCCACCTCTTCCCCAGCAGACCCCCTCCCAAGGCATAAAAGGCCATCATTTCCTGCTGAAGGCGCCACCTCTGCCATCCAGCATTTTAACCCTCATCTCTAAACCACTGTTGTTTTAGAGTTCACTCTTCCTTTCCTTCCTTTCCTTTTGCATAATGAAATCACCCTCCAGTGTTCAACTACACAAGATTAAATCTTTCTCTGACCCAGTACCATTTTACCCATTCCCTTAAGGTAAGAGGTAGAAGAATAGAGTTCCTATGATACTACCAAAAGCATTTTTTACCTTTGACAAGAACTCTGAAAGTAAAGGGAAATGTACTCTGACTTCAGGACTTTGTCCAATTTTCTGGATCTAATACCAGACTTCAAGGTTTCCCTCAGAGAAAGCATGTAATACTGAATCCTAGTGCTTCACTTGGGTTGATAAAATCTTCAACTGTATTTCCTAGGCAGAAAAATACTCAGGATCTTGCCTGTCTCCTGCTTGTCTACCCTAGTAAAGTGCTGTTACCTATCAGGTTGCCAAAGAAAATCAGTCTGCTGGAATTTTGTTGAGCAACCTCAGCAAGCTGCAATATTTGAAAATTGTACCTGAACAACATGTTCAAACTAAAAAATGGTGGAGTTTTTGATTTTGTAGGCTACATGTGGATGCTGTTATGTTTCATTTCTCTACTCTATGTAACTCCAACTAAAATAGTGATAAAATGCCAAAATAATTATTTTTGATACTATCTTTCTTTAATCTAGGACCTCTTGGATTTACATGGGTAAAACATTACTGCACTTACGATAAAGGAACAAAAACATTTACAATGAGTACAGCTGAAACAAAATCTGGTGGAAAAGTGGTGAGTTGCATGTGCATGAACACACATATGAACTGTATATTCCATTTTTTACATTAAGCATTCAGGAACTGTTAAAAGAAAAAAATGTGGTGAAGAAAGTATAAGGCTGTTTTCATACATGAAGGAATGCGTGTTTTATATAGCATAGATAAATATTTAAATAAAAATATTTCTTTTATAACATATATAAGCCACATAGTTAATAACTTCTCTAATGTGGTGGTTGCAAATGCATAGGAAATCAATCATATTTGCACAGAATCATAGAATGGATGAGATTTGGAAGGGAGCTCTGGAGGTCATCTAGTTTAATCTCCATGCTCAATGTAGGCTCAACCAGAGCAAGTCAGCAAGGCTTGTGTCCAGTCAGGTTTTAGATACCTCCAAGGATGGAGACTCCGCAACCTCTGTGGGCAACCTGTTTCAGCATTTGGCTCGTAGAAAAGCTTTTTCGTAAGTTCGGATGAAATTACCTGTATTTCAGTTTGTGCCCATTGCCTATTTCCCTTTCACTGGGCACCAGTGAGAAGAATTTGACTCCTTTTTTGCTCTTTCCCATCAGGTATTCATAGATAAATTACTGATATGATCCCCCTTCTCCAGGCTGAATATTACCAGCTCTCTCAGCCTCTCCTCATATGACAGATGCTCCATGTCCGTAATCACCTTGGTAGCCCTTAGCTGGACTCGCTTCAGTACATCACATTCTCTCTCTTGTGCTGGGGAGCCCAGCACTGGACACAGCACTCCAGATGTGTCTTACCGGTGCTGAACAGACCGGGAGGATCACCTCCACTGACCTGCTCTCAGTGCTCTGCCTGATGCAGCACAGGGGGCTATTGGCCTTCTTTGGCAAGGGCACATTGCTGGCTCCTGGTCAACTTGGTGCCCACCAGGACTTGCAGGTCCTTTTCTGCCAAGCTGTTTTCCATCCTGTCAGCCCCAGCCTGTCCTGGTGCCTGGGTTTGTTCCTATTCATGCGTAACAGTGCTGACCCCTTGGGCATAGCACTAGTGACTGGCTGCAGCTGGACTTCTGCTGTGAGCTCAGCAGTTCAGCCAGTTTTCAGTCCACCTCACCATCTGCTTATCTAGCCTGTACTTCACCAGTTTGTCTATGTGACTATATAGACTGTGTCTATGTGAGAATGTAGTAGGAAGCATCCTACTGTAGTAGGACGCAGTGTCGAAAGCCTGGTTAAAGTTGAGATAAACAATATCCTTTGTTTTTCCATCATTCACTGAGCCATCCATCACATTGTAGAGGGCTATCAAGTTGATCCTGCATGATCTCCCATTCATTAAATCCATGCTGACTACTTCCAGTCACCTTTCTCTCCCTAATATGTTTGGAAATGCTTTCCAGGATCCCTTCACAGGGATCACGGTGATGCAGACTGATCTGTAGTCCCCTGTAGGACAAGAGGAAATGGCCTGAAGTTGCACCAGGAGTGGTTTAGATTGGGTATTAGGAAAAATTTCTTCATCTGAAGGGTTGTAGAGCATTGGAACAGGCTGCCCAGGGAAGTGGTTGAGTCACCATCCCTGGAGGTATTTAAAAGACACATAGATGTGCCACTTAGGGGCATGGTTTAGTGGTGGCCTTGGCAGCGTTAGATTAATGGTTGGACTCAATGATCTTAAAGGTCTTTTCCAATCTATATGACTCCATGATTCTATGATTCTATATTCTTCTCCTTACTCTTCTTGAAGACAGGAGTGACATTTGCTTTCTCCCATTCCTCAGGAACTCCCCTGATTGCATCAGCCTTTCCAACATTATAGGGAGTGACCTCACAATGATGGTGGCCAGAACTAGGAGTTAGTCAGCTATATTCTTTAGAAATCTTTTTATCTACATGTAAGAGTTGACAGAATTATATGATATTTGTTCTAACGTGTGACATGTTATATATGCAGACGTTTGTAAAGTTTTCAATTTAGGGAGTTTTCTGGAGTACAATGATTAAATAACAAACGTGACAGAAAGCTATTAACTGTAGTCTTATTTTATATACAGAGAAGTTATTTTATATGTTCCTAAATAATTTTAATGCCCATGTTAAGGCATGTTCTTTGGACTGTTCATACAGTTAAATTTAAGATACAAAGCCAAGGTATATCAGCATACTGCCTGTGCTAATTTTGTTTTGTTTTGTTTTATAGAATGGCCTTGTCACAAGCTCACCAGAAATATTCAAGCTAAAATCTTGCATCAGGAGAAAGACAGATTCAATTGACAAACGTTTCTGTTTTGATATTGAAGTATTTGAGAGGTTTGATTTTTTTTCATTGTGTTAACAAATTGAAAATAGTTAAAAATAGAAGCACTTGCAACCAATATATAATAATTACTCCTGTAACAGGAACATGTATTTCTCAGTATGCTTGTATCCAGACAAACTAGGCTTTCAAGACTTAGTACTTATTTGTTCAAACCTGTTTTCCTAACAAAATTCACTACACTGCATATGTGTTGTCTTACCTACATTACCTTTGCCTGCAGATACAAGATGGATTCTTACGGAACCTGTAGCACAACTGACTACCCTCTTTTAGGAAGAGTTCATAAATATTTTTATAGATTCTTACTAAGAGGCATATTCTGTATCAGTTTCTTATTTCTTTCAGAAATGTATGATAGCACCTCATTCTTCTTTTTTGAAAATTACTTCTACAATATTTTTTTTTTCATTTATTCCTGGATATTACAATTATATAAGATAGATGAAAACAGCTTGTCTGTATTTTAAGTGTATGTACACATTACTTCTTAAAAGTTTTTTTTTCAAGCTTGGAAATTAAGAGAAATATTGAATTAATTTTTCCCCTTAAAATATGATAAATAGACTGACTTTTGTAATCATTCTCTGAAGAAATATTTTATGACTGTTGCTGTCATTTTAAATTCCTTTCAGAACTGTTGTATTTACATGATGATTTTGGGCTACTTTGGTACTTTCAAATATAATACATTATTATACACAGTACATTATTATACACAATACAAAATGTTTTCTAAACCTGAGTGTGTTCAGGTATAAGAAAGAGAAATTTGATATGAACAAATGTTGTGGCTAATTGGTCTCTTGAAAGCTCCTAAGCTTGAATTGACAGGTTGAGTTTGAAATTGGTAGTTGTTTCTTTCTAAGTAGAATTGCATTTATTGCAAAATATGGCCAATTACTGTGGCAGTACCACTGTAATGTACTCACAAGTGAGTGTTGTCCTTTCTCTCTGCTAGAACTTCCGCAGTTCAACAAAACTGCATAGAACAATTAGTTCTATCTGCAGTTCCTCACGTTCTCACCAAAGACATAGTTACAGGCACTTTTTACATACTGTTTATTCCTTTTGGACATTTTGATTGATTACAAATGGGTATGGCCTATAAGTTAAAGGCATTCTGTGAACTTGGACAGGAGATTGAAAAGGGAGTAGAATACAAAGTTACTTGGTCATTACTGTAAGGATGTAATTTTCACAGGCTGATAGAAAGTTCACTTTTCTGATGGATTTGGTATTTAGGAGGGAAGTAGTGAATTTTTTTGCAAGTCAGCAGAGGCGATAAATAGACAACAAAATACCTAGAAATATTTGGTGGGAGTTCATATACAAGGGCAACATTAATACCTTCTGAATGTCATGTTGGTAAAACATGGGTTTGCTCTAAGAAAGAGAAGATGCAGTGGCTGTTACTGATGTCACTAATGACTAAGAATGTGAGCGAGTTCATATAAACACAGTGCTGCAATACTGTGTGGTAATGATTACATTGGGACTAATTTTAAATTCAAGATTTAATGTAATTTCCTTGGATTAAAATGTTGGACATCACTTGCAAAATACAGAAATCTTTACAAGTAATTGACATTAGTAAAAGATAAGTTTCTTTCGTAACATGAGGGTATGACTTTTCATCATGAAAAAACTCTTTTTAAAAACGTGCAGCTACACCAGTCTTCAAAATTTTGTTGCAAGATTTTATGGGGAACTTCTGTCTCCAAACACCTTATCCCACAGAGCTAATTCTCTCCTTGCATTATTATATGCAACATTATATGAAGCATTATATGAAATATTATCTCATTAAAACATTGGAAAACCGTGCAGACTTATGTGCGAATCTCATTCACTGAAGAACCATGTTAACTGGAAGAAACACTTGTGAACAACTAATGGAGAACACACACTGTGAGTCCTTCTAATTGACATAATTGATTACAAATTTACGTAGGTGTTTTTCACACCTTCATTCAGCTCAGACTTCTTTTAAAAACTATTCTAGAGGTTACACCGTCTGATTTGTATTGGAGCGATATAAAACGGTAACATCAAAAAATGTGTTTCACCTTGAATGTAATTTTAATTTCTGAGAAATTACCAACTATTTCAGTAACTAGAGAGGAAGTTAGTTCAAAATGTATTGAAATTGGTTTGGGCTTTTTTTTTTTTTTCCTCAAGAAAACTAGTATTTGGAGATGATAGTGTTAGATATTTGACTATTAAAACATGCTATACTATGACTGAAAACTTGGCCAACAGATTATATCAGAAACACAGAGCTAAAAGCAGATATCTCTAAGCTTGAAGTAAAATGACACTCAGAAATTTCTGTTCTTTCTGTACATGCTGTCCAAGGGGCTGTAAGTATAAATGCAATTTTCCAACTGAAATATTAAGCAGTAGTCACAACAGAAAGAAGGGAAAAAAAAGTCTGTTTCTATTTCTGAAGTATTTTTGAGAGGAAGATTTCTAGGTAAGAATCTGTGGGTAGATGGTAAGATGGAATATTAAAACATAAGTAAATTTAGACTTTTAAGAAAAGAGAAAAACAATTATACATCTTAATCTGGATTAACTGTATCTTTTTACACTTGTGATAGTAGATAGAAAACAAAATACTCAACTTGCCGTTTTAGGTAAAAGGGCAGGGCCTGCTCCTCGAATGGTTTGGTGTACGTGTGTGAACACACATTTTGATATTTTGTTTGTCCAGTTGCTTTCTTGCATGCTTTTTAAAAACAAGGTGACAATGTAGGCCTTTTGGAGGAGGTAGGAGGGGATGGTGGTTTTTTGGTTATTTTTATAGTGGAAGATGAATACCTAGTAAAAACTGTGGTGTCCTTTATTTGTGAACCTGCCATAGAAAAATCACAGTTTTGGACAGTCTGTTGAGAGTTTTGAGCAGAGATACACTACACTGGTGTGGAAGCAGGACTTTTTAAAATGGGCTGTCTCTTGGGCCTTCTATGTTGGCAAATCAGTGAATTCATTTCAAAGCATTTCTTAAAGAGCTCATTTGCCTATGATCACAAATAGAGACTAATTCCTTGTATTTACACATTTTTTCATATCATTCCAGGAACAAAGATTGAAATTGGTTCCCTCACCACTTCACTAGTTCCCATGACTCTTTCCTATGCAATATCAAAGCTTCATCAACAGAGAGGATATGCCACTTTTTTAACTTCTGTTGTAGCGGTTAGAGCACAGCCAGCAGAAATAACAGCAGTTTTTTGAATCCTCTCAAATAAAAAATTCCTGCACCATGACCAGTACTCAGCTCAATTGGCTTTACATCTCCATACTTGAGATACTATCTCAAAGCCCACTTTTTAGGCAACCATTTTAGGGCATATTTCTTTTGACCGACTTTGGATATCTATTTTGGGTTTTAATGACTTTTAGATTAAATGTACCTATTCTCTTCATTTGCTATGAAAGGAATGTAGATAACCAGATCAGGCATAGACATATTTAGTCAAATTGAGGTGATGTATCTTGCCCTTAAGTTTTCCACCCTAAGCATCTCCCCACTGAAAAATGGGTTGTATTGGAATCCATTTGCAGGTCTATAACTCATCTTGGAATACAGATGTGCCTAATACTTACTAGAGGCTTGTAGCACTTAGGACTAGGCATCCAAAAGTACATATTGCAGTACCAAACTTTTAAAAAAACAGACCTGTTTTTAAATCTAGCTCAACTTTATTGTGTTATGTCAGAAGCCATCAACTTTCTTAACTTCTTTCTGTCTTTTATGTATTCACTTCATGTCAATATGTGTTTGGATTCTGACTTTGGATACTGTTTGAGAAAAAGAAATTAGTAACTTCAGTATATGTGTGTTTTTGACAGACCAGGAATCATCACTCTGCAAGCTTTTTCAGAATCCAACCGAAAACTTTGGCTCGAAGCTATGGATGGAAAGGAACCGGTAAGGATATTTTTTCATTTCCTTTTTACAGTTTTGTGGCACATGTATTTAAGAAAGAAGCTAGTATACATTTCAGATAGCCTGTTACTGTACAGGCAAATACAGTTCTGTTCTTCGTGAGACACTATTGGAAACATACAGTGAAGGTAGGTACAAAGTAGAAAAGCAGAACTATTAGTGAATTTAAGCCTTTATTTATATATTATTCACAGACAATCACAGAATGGTAGGTGTTGGATGGGACCTCTGAAGATCATCTGGTCCAACCCCCCTGCCAAGGCAGGATCACCCAGGGCAGGTTGCACAGGAACGCGTCCAGTCGGGTTTTGAAGGTCTCCAGAGAAGGAGACTCCACAACCTTCCTGGGCAGCCTGTTCCAGTGCTCCGTCACCCTCACAGTAAAGAAGTTTTTCCTCATGTTGAGGTGAAACTTCCTGTGACGCAGTTTATGCCCATTGCCCCTCGTCCTATCACTGGGCACTGCTGAAAAGAGACTGGCTCCATCCTCCTGACAGCCACCCTTCAGATATCTATAGACATTGATAAGGTCCCCTCCCAGACTGCTCTTCTCCAGACTAAACAGCCCCAGGTCTCTTAGCCTTTCCTCGTACGAGAGATGTTCCAGTCCTTTAATCATCCTCACAGCCCTCCGCTTGACTCTCTCCAAAAGTTCCTTGTCTCTCTTGAACTGCAGAGCCCAGAACCGGACACAATACTCCAGATAAGGCCTCACCAGCGCAGAGCAGAGGGGGAAGAAAACCTCTCTTGACCTGCTGGTCACACTCTTCTCTGTGTGGCCCTCTTGGCCACCAAGGCACATTGCTGTCCCATGGATAATTTATTGTCTACCAGGACTCCAAGGTCCTTCTCCATGGAGCTGCTTTCCAGCAGGTCAACCCCTAACCTGTACTGGTGCATGGGGTTGTTCCTGCCCTGGTGCAGAACTCTACACTTGTCCTTGCTCAATTTCATGAGGTTCCCCTCCGCCCAACTCTCCAGTCTGTCCAGGTCCCGTTGAATGGCAGCACAGCCTCCTGGTGTATCAGCCACTCCTCCCAGTTTTGTATCATCAGCAAACTTGATGAGGACACGTTCCAACCCTTCATCTAGGTCATTGATGAAGATGTTGAACAAAACCAGACCCAGTACTGATCCCTGGGGAAAACCACTAGCTGTAGGCCTTATTTTATTTTAGGATATTTAATGTTTAAGTAATATGCTAGCATATTGTCTAATAGGATTCATGGTTCAGGTAACATTTGGGAAGTGGTAGTTTTTACACTGGTAAAGAAAAACTAGCTTTTGGGCAGCATCATGGAGTAAGCAATTAGCACCGTCTTGAAAGGCACCGCAGAGAGCATAAAAATGTGTTGAAAGCTACTGAGACAGGCTTGTCTGAGATTTCTTCCCACTATTAATATGCTCTTAAATAGTCACTGAATGAGGGTGATGCCAGACCTGTGTCCAAGGGGAAAAAAATGGTTGATCAGTTTTATGAGATAGATTAGTGTTTTTACAAGCTTCTTGCTTGACTGAAACAGTACAGAAATTGGATCCGTAGTACTGAAATTTTAACCCATTTGGAGTCTGCAAATCTGACTTACAACACATTTTAGGTGCCTATAAATTTAATGCTATTAAATCCCTAGTCAATCCATAATCTCAAGGCTGGCCTGAATAGATTTCTAGGACACATCCCACTGGCCCTCTGCCTTCTCCCCAGAGGTGAAGGTGATCAGCTTTGTAAAATTGCAAACACAACCAAAACAGTGGGTCGTTGCCCTCTCCACCTGCTCAGATCCTAGCACAGGGCTGTTAACCTGGGTGAGTGCTGCGGGTGTAAACATCAAGGGGAGGTGGAAGGCAAGGTTGGCTTTCCCCTAGCAGCAAGCTAATACACAGCATGTTGCAGCTAGCTTAAAAAATACCAACAAACCTGGCAATAAAGCACTTAAAGCACAAACACTGACCTCTTGCCCTTTTTTTTACAGATCTACACACTGCCAGCCATTATTAGCAAGAAGGAAGAAAGTAAGCTTTTTATTTATGTAGAGTTACCAAATATAGCTAGATTTCTTTAATGTCCTGGTTTCTAGATGTGTGTGTGTGAGAGAGATTAATTACTTTACATTTTCTTTCTATTGCTATGAAATAACTGTTTGTTGGATTACATGATTGGGTTATACAAAAACATATACTAAGCTATGTAAATTGTGAGAAAGCCTTCAACTTTTGTGTAACTATCAAACATAAATTAGAAGAAAAATTCATTGGCTCCAAAGCTACAATATATTTAATAAATCTCTAAAAGAGACTCTGCATACCTAAATGTAAATATATTCCAGTGTGTTGAAATAATATCCCTATACAGAATCATAGAGTCATTTAGGTTGGAAAAGACCTTTAAGATCATCAAATCCAACTGTAAACCTAACACTGCCAAGTCCCACTAAACCATGTCCCTAAGCACAACATCTTTTAAATACCTCCAGGGATGGTGACTCAACCACTTCCCTGGGCAGCCTGTACCAATGCTTGAACAACCTTTTCAGTGAAGAAGTTTTTCCTAATACCCAGTCTAAACCTCCCCTGGCACAACTTGAGGCCATTTCCTCTCATTCTACCGCTAGTTACTTGGGAGAAGAGACCAACACCCACCTCACCACAACCCCCTTTCAGGTAATTGTAGAGACCACTAAGGTCTCCCCTGAGCCTCCTTTTCTCCCGGCTAAACAACCCATTTCCTCAGCCGCTTCTCATAAGACTTGTTCTCCAGATCCCTCACCAGTTTTGTGGCCCTTCGCTGGACATGCTGCAGCACCTCAACAACCTTCTTGTAGTGAGGGGCCCAAAACTGAACACAGGATTCAAGGTGCGGCCTCACCAGTGCCAAGTCCAGGGGCACAATCACTTCCCTACTCCTGCTGGCCACACTACTCCTGATACAGGCCAGGACGCTGTTGGCCTTCTTGGCCACCTGGGCACACTGCTGGCTCATGTTCAGCCGGCTGTCAACCAGCACCCCCAGGTCCCTTTCCGCCAGGCAGCTCTCCAGCCACTCCTCCCCAAGCCTGGAGCGTTGCATGGGGTTGTTGTGACCCAAGTCCAGGACCTGGCACTTGGCCTTGTTCAATGTCTTATAGCTGGCCTCGGCCCATCACATCTTTGTGATTTTAGGTGTATATGCATCTATTATACATACACTGAGTAATAAAACAAGTATATTTAAAGATACTATGAGATTTATGTGTATAATTGTATTAACATTATATTAACACATATGTCTTATTACCAGAAATATGTAAAAATAATTTAAATATATGTGTGGGTATACGTCTCTCGGAGAGAGCAAGCAACGTGTCAGATATGAACATACATCTTCATAGGAGGTATATTTGAGATTCTGGAAATCTAAAATTTAAGCCACTATGTTTTTTATGTGATGGTGTTTATTTTAATGGTGATAAAAATGCTGCTATAAGATCTTTATTTAGCTAGTTAGAGCACTGAGCATTGAAGATACAAAAATTAATGAGAAATACTTTCACTTCAAATAAGCTCATTAATTGAAGTCAATAACAAAGATTGTTTTCCTGTGTAACCATTTTATAAGTGTTTATGTGCATGTGCAAGGAACAAAGAATGTCATTATACTAAAACCAATGAATATATTCTGTTCGTAATGTACGGTAATCTCCTTTTCAAGCTACAAGCTTTCAGCTGTATGCATATAGGGGCTACTGATTTCTGAGAAAGACAGTAGAATATTCTGCTCCTACTCATATAGTAATGATTAAAAAGTTGGATTTTGAGTGCTAAGGATGTATCTACAAGAATGCTATTACAGAGTAGGTATCATAATCTCATGGATAGATGTGTATCAGTCCTTCTTGACTAACACGTGAATGTAGCTAAACACGGAGATTTTGTATACTGATGTTAGAAAAGAATTACCTTTTTTCTTCTTTTTATAGTGTTCTTAAATGAAGCAGGTTTCAACTTTGTGAGGAAATGTATTCATGCTGTAGAAACAAGAGGTGTGTATTAAATCACAAATTATGTATTAGATTATTATGAGCATTTTTATCAAATATTACTTTGATTAATTCTGCATGTTTTACAGCTGTGCTTTGGTATGTGTCCATCATTTGGTTTGTGCTTTTTGCATTTTATCTCATGCTTTACACTTAAAACTGTTGCCACATGTTCCAACAACTGTTCTTAACATATCATTTAAGTAGGTCTTTTAAACATTTTCTGTAATTTCATGTTACTTAGCTTAGTACAGAGTTGCACACATCTTTAGTCTTTAATCTGTGTGCACCGAATTGTGCTTTCTCATCGTAAAACTGTTAGGGAGCCTCAGCTCCCAACTTTGGTTTCTGGCATGAAACCTGAAGACCAACAGGTGGCATGAATACTCTCTGCTGGAACATCTTTTTTGCAGAGCGTAACTCCTGTCATTTTATTCACTCATTTTGTGCATGGTTTACCCATTTTTTAAATGTTTAGAAACTCATTTTTAGTAGTGGGAATGTACAAAAAGAAAATAATAGTCACTTGCCCGATGAGATGACATCTTGCAACTCACAGCACGTTTTTAATTAACCCCTTTCAAATGAAGATTTGTGGCTATATCATCTTCCACAAAAAGAGATAACCTTTTCGTGGCCACGCCCTGAACCACCAGTATGCAACTCTCTTCTAATCCAGAAGCTGTCTGGTCTCTCTGTGCAACATTGAGCTTAACATGATTTCAGTTTCTCAGGTGACAATGTTATGTAGCTTTTGAAACACTGCTGACTCAGAGCTTGCATTTTTTTTCTGGGGGAAATAAAATGGAGGGGGTTAGAAAAAAACACCTAAGTTATCTAAGTGACATGAGACTTTGGAATGTTGTTTTCAAAGGAAAAGTGGACAATTTTTAAATGGTAAGACCTGAAGTGGAGAGAAGACTTTTAAATCCTGCTGATTTTAAAAGGCAGTTAAAAACAATAAAATTATCATAACTGCAATCCTGAAATACTGTGTTGTGAATGTCACACTTCAAACATTTTTTATTAGTATCTGTGCTATTAAAAAAAACCTAACAGTTGAAACTTCTGGGTAAATTGGGACTTCACTGTCTCTATTTTGCATGGGCATCCATGCATAACATAAATTCTCAGCTGCAGTGTTGCAACAGTATACAGTATGTGTTTTTATTTTGGGTACAATCATTATTTCTCCTATAAACGTCAGTCAGTTCTTAACTGGAAGAGATGATGGTCTAAGCAAATACAGATGCGTAGTAATTCCACTGAAGTCTAGCTAACTTGTTAACATGTAATGTGTTTTAAGACTGCTTTTGGGTGTTATTTTTCACTTTTCACAGCCATCTTGTTTGCTGTTGTGGGTCATTTCTGTGCAAAAGGGTTGTTGTATAGTGCATAAATTCTCAGCTGCAGTGTTGCAACAGTATACAGTATGTGTTTTTATTTTGGGTACAATCATTATTTCTCCTATAAACGTCAGTCAGTTCTTAACTGGAAGAGATGATGGTCTAAGCAAATACAGATGCGTAGTAATTCCACTGAAGTCTAGCTAACTTGTTAACATGTAATGTGTTTTAAGACTGCTTTTGGGTGTTATTTTTCACTTTTCACAGCCATCTTGTTGTTTGCTGTTATGGGTCATTTCTGTGCAAAAGGGTTGTTATATAGTGCAGTGATTCAGTGGAATGCATTTATTAACATCCCAGAAGAGAATTCAGTAGGTCAAAGCAGTACTCAAGAATGTAATTGTACAATTTTCAATAAATACATTTAGATGGTTTGAAAACATACACCAAGGTTCCATCAGCATGTTTTGGAATAACCATATTTTCATTATTTTCAATGTGCTTGTTTTCCCACTGTAGGTATTACAATCCTGGGACTGTACAGAATAGGTGGTGTAAACTCTAAGGTGCAAAAGCTGATGAATACCATATTTTGTAAGTATCTGAAGTGAACCTTTGTCAGTGTGCGGCATGTGTGCTGTGGTCCCTTTTGCCTTAACTGCTGTGCTCAGAAGATCGTGTCATAGTATTTACAATTTTGTACATGCAATTACTTAAATTTAGTTTCCAGTCTTAAAATGAGTGATCCATCTAACTAGTTTCTTGTGTGCATTAGTATTCAATTTCTGCGTGCAATCATTGATGAACATGAGCAAATTACTGATAAAATGCATTTCTTCTTTTAGCTTTAAAGTTCTATTTATCGGTATCTGTTTGGCATATTTCAGAAGTGGTCCGAAGCTTAGTTCGGTAACACAGCATAACTGTTAAATAAACAGTTGGTTTAGTCTTTCACTTTCCATGCTAATTTGGTGCTCTGATGCCTGCGAATGTCTAAGCCAAATACGTTAGTAATTCTCTGTTGATTAAGGTTTACTTTACACTTTGATACAGTGCTTATAGTTAATGTTTACAGGTACTAAATATGAGTGCTGAATTCATTTTTATTAATACTTTGGCAGAGATTAAAAGATTTAAATTTATCAGATTGGTAGTTAATCTGGCTAGTAAGTAATCACATGAGCTAAATGACTAATCTATTAGCTTTTCTAGTTAGTGTGTTAGTCAATCTATAACACAGATTCAATTTTCTACCAGCCCCTAAATCTCCTCCTGATATGGATATTGATATGGAACTTTGGGACAATAAAACAATAACAAGTGGACTAAAAAACTACCTCAGGTAAGTATGATGCTACACAAATCTCAGTATTCCTTTTCTGGCCCATTAATCTTATCCTTATTAATATCCTATTACATTTCTTGTATCCATTAGCATGGTAATAATTGAGTGTATTATTATCTTGCCTAATATCCCTGTGATTATGTGTAATAATAAATCTAAAATCTGTCACACACTTTCTGCCTTATTAAGATAGTCATGCCATATATATAGCCCTAAATTTGTCAGAATTTAATTAATTGGTTTTATTTAAAGACTTTTACATTAACTACAAAATATGTTGTGCTCAGTCTTTCTTTTCTGAATCCCTTAAGCTGTGTACCATGAGGCTTCATGGCATCATTGTTGGAGCAGAATAAAAATTCCTGCAAAAGCATAGGTTTTTATCCTATGCTGTTGGTGTCTTCACAAACACCATATCCCTCCCACACTATCATTTTCTCTTAAAGTTTTTGCTAATAAGAGACAGAATTTTCAAGAATGGTACTTCTGAGATCACTCTTTTTTGGGTCTCAATATATAACTTCAAAAGAAACATAATGAAAAGCATCAAATCCAGTTGGTGGGTGTTCTATGCCTTCTAAAAACCTAGATTTCCTAAACCGGTCACCTGACAAAGAGTAGCATCAGGAATCCCTATTCACTCTGGAAAATAAGCCTAGGAGTTACAGTGCAATGCTCATGTAAACTTCATTGAAAAGACTGGCTTTGGTTGAAGAAATTTATAGTAAATCTTCAGAAGCACAAATCATTGTAGGTACTGTATTTGTGAAATGGGAACATGAGCTAGCAGGAGCTGTGTGTTTGTGTCTATAACACAATTCACACTCTGTCTTTCAGAGGGTGACTCTTCTAGGATCTCTCAGATCAGAATTTCGGTCCCAAATTACATCATGTTTTTGCCTTTCTTGGGCAAAAGATTGCTTCTGCAGCCCACGTGTCCCATGTTCTGCAGTTGTATTTATTCCTGTGCTACAGTATGAAAGCCAGAAAACAGTGATTCTCTGTGCTGAAGTCAGTGCCAGTAGTATTTCGCTTACTAGCTTACATGGTGACACCAGATTAAACTCAAAGAGATTTTCAGACTATGTATGTGATTGAGTTGTATACTACTTGCAATCAGTCATCACTGAATTGGGTTTCCTACAACATACCAATATACATTATGCAGATGTTGAGGGCTATCACAAAAAGACTTTAAGTAAGGTGTGGTTTTTAATATTCTTTTTAATATTTTTTTACAACCAGGTGTCTTTCAGAACCACTGATGACTTTCAAGCTGCATAAAGATTTCATTGTCGCTGTTAGTAAGTAAAATAATAAATACACTTTCATGAAAGTAATATTATTTCTAACCCTTAATCTCCTCAGTTGCTATCCTTATTTTTCTCCTTGGTCTATTATTCAGTGATCCAGCCATGGATCTGAGTTCTTCCATGTCACTGTATGTGACAGCACAGTGCAACATGAAAGCCCTCAAAACAGAGAACTCACACTAGATGAAGCTGTTCAGTGGTTTGTTCCGATCTTTTCCGTGTGACTGCCTTCTGCATGAAATTTTGAACCTTGATTTATATGTTTGTGTTATATGGGCTGATAATTCTTTCGAAGCATTCATACCTCTCATCCCCATTTCCTGTTGCCTTCATAAGAATAAAAGACACTGAAGAATTTTAGATATTTTCAATATCAAGGAGTAAAATCTTGGATTTCACTGAAGTGGCGCATCAGTCAAAATTGACACAAATTTCATTGGTTACAGTATTAGTGGTAACTGCTTTTGGCAAGTTACTTAAATACAGATTTTAGAACGTTGTAATAAATATAATCAAACTGTCCTTATCATTTTAAAGGCTAATTCTGTTTGGCTTCTTGTAATGCATGTGTGTATTAGTGTACAGGCATTGGTGCCATTTGTAGATGCATCTTAGCATATGTTCCAGTTTATCAACGATATTTGTTTGCTGTCTAATAGAGTCAGATGATCAGAACTACAGAGTTGAGGCAGTGCATGCGCTTGTGCATAAGTTACCAGAGAAGAACAGAGAGATGCTGGACATCCTTATCAAGCACTTGGTCAAGTAATTATTTTTGAATTTTTCTCTTTGGTATTGTTGTAAGATGTGATTATTTCCACTTCAAATTTGTCAGTGTTGCTTAATCCATTCTTTGATTTGAAACAATGCCACTCGAAATTGCATTTAAATTCTAAAACGCTGTTCTCAATGTAGCTGAAGAATACTCACTGTAGAAACGAAATAAAAAATAACACCATAAAGAGTCACCAAGATGACCAGCTATATTTATAAAATAAACCCACTCAATGTTTTCGTTCACGTTCCTACTTACTACAGGAATTGGTACTAATTAAATTTAAGAAATATCTAAAACTATGCTAAGGTTGATAGAAAATGCTGTTTTGAATCTGACTCGAGGTCCCACACTGTTTCAGAAATGGAGAGTAGACTAATATGATACTACTTGTCCTTCATGTTTGATCTTATTTTTCTAACAGCTCTGAAGTGTAGTATCATTTGAAAACGCTAACTTGAAGCATTATTAGTTACATTTTTGATATCTATATAAATGTCCAAACCCATTTTTGAATCTCTCTTGTTTCATCAGCTTCTCTAAGTATTAATTAAATATCGAATGGAAAAGATTTGTTTTTCTTTGAACTGATGACCTTTTGTCTTCACTGAATTACACTTAGCATGGGCTGTGAAACAAAAAAGACAAGTTTTTATTCTCTTATGTCTCTCTATATCACTAGCTATTATTATACCATTACATTATATTTTGTCCTGTATCTTCATCAAACATTATTCATGTAAGTTGTACTAAACCTTTGGTCAGTTGACACCGGTATTTGCTGAATACTTTTTCATATGTATTATTCTTCCTAATTTAGGATGCTGTACACTTTTTAGTACATTTATCAATGATCTGGGAATGTGAATACTGAAACAGCAGTTGTTCACAGAAGGCCCACATGACTGAGATATGTAGAAGCCAGAGGAGTCCATATTGTTTTCATTCCATTCATTGCATCCCAGCTATTTTGCTTTTTTGATCACAGCTTGAGAAACAGCCTGCAGTAAGCTGTCTACAGTGGAGCCTAATGCAATTTTTCTTGCTCTTATAGATGTGAGAACTTTGAAAATTTCTTTGACAGGAAATTATTTAGCCTTAGCAAATTATTTTTAGCCCTTCATGTCATTAGCCCCTGGAGAACTAACATGATAAGGAGCTGCTGTGAATGCTTCCATTGGAAAAACTGATTAGGCAGACCTTGCAGCTCATTACATGGGATAACCCAGAGAAAGCAAGTTTCATAAGTTTCCTTACTCACAGAGTGGTTTGATTAGCTAAAAAATGTATCTACTGCTTTCTAACCCTCTTCATAGTTAAAATATGTAGTGAGAGATTAATGATTTTGTAAAAGCTAATCTGGAAGCCCCAAAACTAGAAATATATATATACATAGGAACTGACTTGTTTCCAGGCAGAATTAGTTATAGGCAAGCATTTCTTTCTTTACCACTTCTCCTGGCCTCTTTATTCTCAATATGATGACCTCAGATGCGTTCCCAAAGAAAAGCATGCCTGCAGTATTCCCTTCTTTAATTGTTCTCTTTAACTGTTGCCTATCACATCTTTGATGCAATCCTCATTTCTGATAAATTTAATCCTGTGGTTTTATACTGAAAACTTTCAGTTCTTTTCTTTCCAACATTCAATTCACCCCTTCTAATTTCTCAGATAATTTGCCAGCTGTTGTTTATGCTAGCAATACTAATGAGACTGAATTCAAAATCAGTCTCTTGAGTGTATTAGTTATCTTCATTCATCATCTTTTTTCTGCCACTGTGTGAAGATTTTTCGAGGAACAAATGGCAGATAAATTGTCTAATTTTATGTAAATGGAAAAATATGAAAAAAACCCAACCTCCTGTTGGTTCATTCTTTTGTTTAAAATCCAGTTTCAAAATGTGCATCCTTTTGCTTATTTCTTTTAGCTGTTCAGTTCCTTTATGTATGCTTTTGTGTCTAGGTGAAAATAGTATACCTCTAACTATGGGTTATAAAATAAGGATAATACTATTTTTTCTTGGTTTAGGTCTTAAGGTCTTTACATCTCTGCCTACCTTGACGTTTGTGTCACTGCAAAATTATATATGATCTAGATGTCGTGGGATGTAGATCATACTAAAAACAAATAAAAAACCAAATACTAGCAAATCCTGAAAAGCACCCTGCAGAGAGATGATGCTATATGATATCTGAGGTGATAGTCAGCAGCTAGGCAAACACGGGAAGTTTGGTATTATTTTCACATAACTCATTTTTTGTTTTTAAACCTTTCTAGTCAAATTACCTGCCAACTTTAAAGAATAAATCATTCTTTGGTATGATTTAATAACACCATAGTTTTCTAAGGTCGATAGTCAGGAGTCTGGAATCTGGCAGTATCAAAGATTTACTGGTGATATATCAAAGAAAGAGATTTTGAGGAGGAAGCAACTGCACCTTAATGAATGCCTTACAGCTACCTGAAATGCATGATTACCTTGGCCTGTATCTAATCAGTAGCCCGGCAACAGTAGGGCTAGGTCAGGGGAAATTGGTTATCAAAATGATCCATTTACAGGCCTGGGTTTTTTCTCTTTTGCGAGAAAGTCAGCCTTTGAAATGCTTTGTAGAAAGTCCTTTCTGGTTACAATGCTATTAAATTCACCTTTCCTTTTATTAAACAAGCTACTAAATTTGTAACCAAGGAAACCCAAACACAGAACAAACACTATTTTCTGTCTTATGCTATAAGACTGTAACGTTTGTGTAAGAGACCTGAACAGTTACTGTGCAGCGCAAAGCAGAGTAACATTACAAAGGGTTATTTTTTTTTAGGTTTTTCTTACAAACCTAGCACTGAGTAATTCAGAATTCCATTTTCATTAAAATACTAGTAGACTTCCCAAACACCCTTCAGTCACCTAAGCCAAACATAAGATCTGTTACAGAGAAAATTAGATTAAGATAATTGGCTAAAAATGTGCTTTAACAAGGTAATCACTTCCATGACAGGGCTTCCAAATAATGATCTCTGCCAGTGTGTTTGTCTGAAGTAAAATTTTTTAAAGTTTTTTTGGCATAATTTAATGAAGCAACATAGGAAGCATAAGAAGATAGGCATTTATTTTCCTGCAGTTTATGATCATATTGTCTTCAATACAAAGCCCTTTCCCATATTTCTCCTGCTTCTCGATGTAAATGGGGTGCTCAAAATTTCCTGTTCCAAATATGAGGGGAGTATTACTTCATTATAGAAGTAATTGTACAGTCTTATTCCACCTCTATACCAAGATAATTCTACTATTCTACTCATTCTGTGTATCATTAGTGCCTACTCCATAGTGAGACAAAGGGTAATGTGTGAGTCCAGACATGTGTTTGATCCTGATCCTAACAAAATCCCCCAGTAACCTTGGGAAAATCTCACAGTCTTTTTGTCACTGTGTTTTTAATCTTTGTAAGGGGATAGTATCTGTGTTATTTTCTACCAAACTCTGAAATCGGATAGATCATTTTGCTAATATTTCTATAACATTTTAAGAACAAATCAAGCTATCTGAAAATATTATTGGAAGGAAAATGTAGCAGATGTATCCATAAACCTGATTAATGAAGGCTGTCAGAGAAGACCAGAAGATAAAGTTTGCTCCTACCTGCTAGTCTTCCAGCATTTTATAGATTTTACTGTTTCTTAATTTTAAAAGGTGCAAGGGTTATTTTAATTTTGTAGAAAATGGCTAAAAATGCTCAGCTTGACAGTGGCAGCAGATAGCAGTGAGAAAAAAGAGGAAAATGTGAACAAGTGTCTCAACCGATTCTATTTGGTAGCAGATTCAGTAAAATTAAGCATTAAGGCAATTATGAAACCTTTACTTGGCATGATATGTCTCAGACATGAGGCAATAGGGCAGCTGTGACTGGGGAATCACTGGCAGTTATTTCAAAGGATTTATGATGGTACAGTTTTTATTTGGCAAATCTTATTCGTAAGGAGAGAAAAGGAACATTGAGGATTACTGATTGACAGTTTTCATTTTACTATCTGATAAACTATTGGGAAAACTGAGTTTCTAAATTCTACATTAAGAAGAAAAATGACAGAAAAGGTACAGTAAGCAATAACAGAATATACAGAAGTAAAAGGTTAATATATTTTAAAGCTGGAAGATGTCATTGTGATCATCTAGTTTTATCTATACCACAGCAACAATGATTTCACTGACTCCGTTGATCCCATGTTTTCAACACATTAATAAAGAGATCCTATTGCAATGTGTTTTCAGTAACTGAATTTCTTTCCTTTACATGAAAGCTAAGGTATATGGTTGACCTCTGTTATATCATAGTATTTTCAGTCAATCCAACATCAAGTATTTAAGTTCCTGTATAACCATTGGAGAGAGATAGGTACCTAACCTAAGACTCCTAAACTTTAGATGGTCTGAGTCTCCCTGTGGAGACCTTCAAAGATAGTTGCTTTTCCCTGTCAATTATGTCAGGAGCTTAAATGCTTACTATAGAAAGATGTGCTCATTATCCATTAAGTTATTGCAGGATGGGAGCCTTTAATGGAAATACAGTAGTTGTACTATACTGCATTTTGTCTCTAGTAAAAGTGAAAATTTAAATAGTGTTTTTAAAGAGGAGGCACGAACTTGGGATCTTGTTAAAGAAATAGTCTTAACAGGTTTTTGCCTGTTGGAATTGTAGTTTAGCACAACTATTTAATTGCATATTGTTTGTGTTCATTTAAAGGGTATCATTACACAGTCAGCAAAATCTAATGACTGTATCCAACCTTGGTGTTATCTTTGGACCAACTCTCATGAGAGCCCAAGAAGAAACCGTGGCTGCTATGATGAACATTAAGTTTCAGAATATCGTCGTTGAAATTCTGATAGAGCATTATGAAAAGGTAGAAAGACATTATCTGACTGTTTTGTGGTAAAGTGGAACTAAGATCTCATTTTCATTTCCATCCTTAAGTACTTAATAAGAAAAGTAGCGTTTGTAGAAGGTCATTGATAGAAAGAGTACCTTCTTCCCACCCCGTTGCTATGGATATGTATTCCTAGCAAGTCTTTTGTGGCTGTGCAAGGTACTGATCCAAGGCATTACCTCCCATGCTTTGAAGGGATTGCCCTGAATCTTCAGGTGCTTTCTGAAGATTGCTGTGTCCTCCTTATATCTAGAAACAAAATGAGAAGGTCATAAGGAGCTCCCTGCTCCTCCATCTCTCTCATGCTAGCAGTGTATGGAGGTTCACTCTGGGTGAATGCATGGATTCTCCTCTGAGTGCATCAGGTTAGAGTCTGACCATTGCTGTCCTTTGGGGATACTCTAGCTGCACAGTGGAGATCTAATCCCACCTAAAGTCATGAAACCCCAACCATCCTTCAGTTTCTCTTTTCATAAGCAGCATCAATGTGGATCCCCCACACAATCCCCCATTTCTGTGCGCTGTGTCATTTTTCATGTGTGTAGGTGCTAGATCAAAAGTTAAAAAGCAAAAAGAAAAAAATAATGTATCTTTGATGGGGTTTTATTCCTAGTTACAGATTTTAAGCACATCATGTCTTTGTGATTTAAAAGTTCTTGAATACTTTGGAACATACAAACTTCTCAAGGTACTTCTTTTGCTTTGAAGAAAGGCCTGTCTGTGTGTGGTTTATTTTGTTTACCCCAAAGAGACCAGTGACAGCAAAGGTCCATCTCAAACTCTATCCTGGAACATTGAATAAGAACTGTTTCAGGGCTTAAGAAGGAAAATCCATGAAATCTTAAACACTTACTTTCAGTCACTACCATTGCAGCTATCAACTTCACTGAAAAGCCTCCTCAGATTTTATTGTATTTTATTTTAAACTATTTGATTTCAGAACTCAGCAGAACAGTCAAGACCTCCTTTACTCAGTCATCAAAAGAAATTTTATTTTTGAGATCTTCCGTTGATATGTATCACCTTCTCTGATGTCTAACAAAACAAAGTGAAAAAACTTTGGGTTTCTTCCATTTTGGGTTACTCAGCTAAGGGGCAGTTTCCAGTCAGTACCAGGATCCCCTGCACTGGTTGGTCAGTAAGTACTGACAGTACTGCTTGGTATCATCAATTATATTTCATAGGCACTCCTCAAAATTGGTATGATACTGACAGCCTCCTTGCTTGTAACTCCAAAACATATAACATGTTTCCAACACTGAATTTCCTCTCCAGAAAATTACAAGCTCACTGAATACAAAGATCATGGCTGCACAACCAAAATCACCCTTGCTCTATTTCTCTGTCTACAGACATACTTTTATATTGATGTGCCACTCACTAATGCCTAATACATGCATTAGTACATATAATTAATACATACTAATATTAATAATTAGTACATATAATTAGTACATATAATTAATACTATTATACAAGTATTAATGTACTTTAAGAGCATCTCAAGACATCCATTAAAGTATTTTCTGCCATAGAAGTATATTTGCTTTCTTCCACTTCCATGAGTGGCATGGAGGTATCTTTTCATTGCTCGCTTCATACTCTTCTGTGAGTGCCCTGTTGATAGGGGATCCAGAAGTCCTTGCAGAGATGTATTTTAGCATTGCATGGTATTTAACCGACGACACTTGGCTCTTTCTACGCTATGGAGGTTGGACACTTCTGATTCCTTCAGTAGCTTGACTGAATAGGCAATCTTTGTCTGTAAAACCTCTTCTCCATTCCACAGAATTAATCCCACTTCCTTCCACAGAATGCCACAAGGGATACTGAGTAGAGTTTACAGTCTACACTAGGAGGAATAGGTGAGAAGAACATCTAGAAGAAAAACATGCAAACCTTTTGGTTATATTCTTTGCTTTGGTCATCCTCCAAGGCAATTATCATTTTTACTAGAGGTATCCAAGAGGGTTTTTAGGGTCTTTCAAGACCTCTACTGCACATGTCTTAGATATTGCAGAACAGGTGATACAAATGAAAGTCACACAAATTACTGGGCTTTCTGTATTGTCCGTGCTGGCAAGTTTGCCATGCTTATCAGCGAAGAGTTCTTTAAAACCTCATTTTGTACCTGTGTCAAATCGCAGTAGTCAGATACCCTCCAAATTTTAGTTTTTCCTGCAATAATGAAGGGCAAAATTGACCTTTTGTAGTGGTATGTAAAAGATAAAAATCAGGAGATGCTCCGAACATAAAGATGTTCCACTTCAAATTTGACGTTTGGCAAAATAAAGTGGTTTTCTGAAATACAAACTGGATTGTACTAAGTTATGACTGTAACAAATTTCTGTGACATCCAAAAGCTTTCACAGGAACCCAGAGACAAAATTCAGTATTTTCATAATGTTTAAAAAATGTATTGCTTCTTGGGCAGGAGTTAGTGGTAAGCACATACTGTATGTTTCACTATTTAGGCTATTACGCACTTCTTAACAAGGGCTAGAAAATAAAAATATTTAAACAGATATTTTTATATCATTATAAATTTTAAGTACAGCTCAGTATTGCAGTACTTGGATTGTAAAATGAGATCAGAGCAAAGCTTATATTCTGTGAATTTACTCTTTTGTAATGTGTGAGATTATGACAGCATTAATTACAGGTGCAATGGTGAGGAAAACAAATGGATTAATAATGGAAGTGTAAGAATGCCTCTATTGTTTGTCATTCTTTTTCACTTTTTTTTTTTAATCATACAGATATTTCACACTGCACCAGACCCCAATATTCCTCTTCCCCAACCTCAGTCCCGATCAGGTTCAAGAAGGACAAGAGCAATATGTCTCTCAACAGGTTCACGTAAACCCAAAGGAAGGTATACACCGTGTTTAGCAGATCCTGACAGTAAGTTTGTCCTTGTTGACTCATTATCTTCCTTTTTATGTTTTCTAACTTTCCTGAATAATATCCATTAAGTATTGTATTCCAATAATTACAAGTGTAATGGATGGGGTTTTGTCAGCTTTTTAACCTCTGTGAGTCACAGCACACTGTTGAGTGACTGAATTCCTTGCTTCTTGGACATGAGGAAGGATGTTTGGTTTTAGGCAAGGCTGGTATTGCATACAGTGTTCAAAAATCTTTTATAGTAGGCTTTATATTCTAATCTAAATGTAGTCTGCTTTGAAACTCTGAGGAGTTTGCTTGTAAGCGGATTGTTAAGGTTGGGAAATTGTAAACAGAAAGAATCTTTCCTCTGATCCTGTAATAAATGTAATTTAGTCAAGGTCAGGAGATCAAAACCATTACTTGGCTTTTTTCATATGCATGAAACTGTGGTTCAAAATCAGCCACTACCTAGGTTTACCAAAACCTAGGAAACTTTCTTAGTTTTTCTGGAATAGGAACAACCTGTAATATTTTGGAGAGAAACAGTATACTTACCATATAGCTTACTGTTTAACAGCAGGGAGTTATGTGTGTAATAAATTGCTTCTCAGAATGCTTATTCATTTTCATGTAAATGTAACTATTAAAAAGTTTTGCTTCGTTCGTTTTCACCTAGTGGGCCATCACTTTTTTACTTACTGGCTGTACCACTGAGAAGTACTGAAACTGTGGTAAAAATTAAGTTGTTAACAGTTCCACTGCTGCAGCAGACTTCCCAAAGAACTTCAGTGTCCCTTGGTTCCTCAAGGAGATTTACATGAAACTGGTACAGTAAATTAATCCACAGTTAAGATGCATCTGTTCTTGAGGATCTGTAGTAATTCTGAAGTCTGTAATGTCAGGAAATGTATCTGCAGTGTACTCTTGTGCAGGTGCTGCATTTTCCATAGGTTTATATTACATGATTACGGCCAGTGAGAGTTTAAATACTAATAGAGTAAAAGCTGCCTACACATTGATTGCCAGTGTGAATGGCATGGGATCCCAAGTAAGAAGTTACAGAGGAACTGTCAGTTACATTCACCAGACGAGAAACTAGGTGCGTTTCAACTGGTTTTTGCTGTGCAACTGCAATGAATAGAGGCCAGCATAAAAAAGGGGCATTTCTGTGCAAGTATTTTGCAAAGCGTGTGCAAGCTCACACTTCTTCATTCAGACACATGCTGGTGGCTGTATTGAAACTAGGTCACAGAATCACAGGATCACTAAGGCTGGAAAAGACCTTTAAGATAGTCGAGTCTAACCATCAACCCAACACCACCATGCCCAGTAAATCATGTCCTGAATTGCCACGTCCACACGTTTTTTGAACCCCTCCAGTGGTGGTGACTTCACCACCTCCCTGGGCAGCCTGTTCCAATGTTTGACCACTCTCTCAGTAAAGACATTTTTCCTAATATCTAGTCTAAACCTCCCCGGCACAACTTGGGGCCATTTCCTCTTTTTTTTATCACTAGTTACTTGGGAGAAGAGACCAACACCCTCGTTGCCACAACCCCCTTTCAGGTAGTTGTAGAGAGCAATGAGGTCTTCCCCAGCCTTCTCTTCTCAAAACTAAACAACCCCAGTTCCCTCAGCCGCTCCTCATCAGACTTGTTCTCCAGACCCCTCACCAGCTTCATTGTCCTCTCTGGACATGCTGCAGCACCAAAATGTCCTTCTTGTAATGAGGGACCCAAAACTGAACACAGCGTTTGAGGTGCGGCCTCACCAGTGCCGAGTACAGGGGCACAATCACTTCCCTACTCCTGCTGGCCACGTTGTTTCTGATACAGGCCTGACCCAGAGGCTCCCCACTTCTGCTGTGCTTATTAGCTCAAGCTCAGCACTTGACAAGTTCCAGTTAAGATCTCGCTTTTGTCTGGAAGGTCGAGGCAGAAGCAGAGGTATTCTTGTTGCCAAATATCTCTAGTTGTGGCCGGAGACAGGCAAGAGAGCGCCTTGGCTTCTGGCAAGCAAATTCTGAAGTACTAGGAGTTTTTAAGTCATCATTTAAAGGAAACCCTGACACTTAACTATATTGTAGGAAATTAAAGAATTCTGAATGGCATGACAAAATGAGATACAGGTTTCAAACTGTGGGGAATGATAGAAAATATATCTGGCAAATTTAGGCTTCAGCCAGTCTTGCAATTCTCAAGGGACTAATGGTTTGTAAAGGGGCAAGATGGGGGACAATCTAATCTGAAGTACCAGAATTTTGGCCAGAATTCGGCAGAATATTTCAGATTATTGTACCAGTGGCACTACTGTTGTCAGATCCACTATACAAGGCACTGGTATTTGTGATCTTATGTGTAGTACTGTGTGTGGTTATGGTCACTTGTTGCCAAGGATATTGAAACGTGGAGGCAAAAGCAGCTGTATCATGTTGGTATCTTATAACTACTGTGTGGTTGAAGAATAGATATTCTCTGCTTCTTGTGAAATTTGTTAATTATATCTCTTAGCTTTTGGGAACTAATCCTACTAGAAACCAATGTATAACTCACTAGACTGAATCCAGTCTTCAAGATAATTCAGCCCTCACTGTATTATAGGCTAGTCCTTCCTTAGTTCTGATGAGAGTTCCTACCTTTATATCATTAGATAATTTCGTTAGGATATTCCCACTTTTTGTTGCAAAAGATTATTGGAAATAAGATCAGTACAAAGATTGTTGTGTAGGTAGGTAAATTTCTGTAATATCAGTCTAATTAAAGAAATTCATCAAATGTTCAAGTTGTAAGGAATGAATTGTTGTCCTTCTGCAGGATAGATATTTTATGATAGGTATGACAATTCAGAAAATAGGGTATCTATAGATAGACTTACAGACTAGTCTTAGACTGCAGAGATCCTCAGCAGCTTGGTAACCAAATTGAAATTTAATTCTTGTGTGTGCAGGCAATCCAATCATGCATTTAAGAACATAGATGTGACAAGTATCACATTTGCCTTATCATGGAAATCCAGCAAGATGCTCACCCGAAAAATATTGCAGCATTGTAACTGTTGAATTTCCTAAGGATATTTATATTGCAGACAGTTCTTTGAAAATGCAAACTTTTATGCAAAATAGCTTAGCTTGCAGCCCATTACGTTCGTCATCTCTAAAGAAATATCCACAAAATGCAGCTCTTCCAGGTTAAAGATCAGAATATGTGCAAAACTTAGAGTAACTAAATAGATATTTTGTCTTAAGAATCACTGCCTCTGAAACCATAGATTTATGAATTTGATGACAGGTAAGGTACAAGGGGCTCAAGGTTGCTTGAGAGAAAAGCACATGATTAGAAAATTTAATTTTTTTTCTTTTGCTTCCCTCTCTCTCTCCCCTCCCCTCACTCCTCCCTAGGTGACTCGTACAGCAGTAGCCCAGACAGCACCCCCATGGGCAGCATTGAATCTCTTTCTTCTCACTCCTCTGAGCAGAACAGCACTACCAAATGCGTGCCCTCACAGCCCAGGGAGAAATCAGGAGGCATTCCATGGATTGCATCTCCCCCTTCTTCTAATGGCCAGAAGAGTTCAAGCCTCTGGACTACAAGTCCAGAATCCTCATCAAAGGAGGATGCAACCAAAACAGACGTGGAGTCAGACTGCCAAAGTGTAGCTTCTGTCACTGGACCAGAGAATGCCTCTCCACCAACAGAACTGACCAAAAAGAGTTCTTACAGTCTGTCTGGACTGAAAAGGTCTTCAGCATCTTCCCTCAGATCAATTCCATCAGCTGAAGGTAATTTTGAAGGTCTTTTAGGTCATTGGTGTTTACTGTGAGGCATCAGAAAGTAAGAGCTGCATCTGAAAGCTAATTTTATCCATTAATCTTTTATGTTTATTTTTTAATTTTTGTGGCATGTTCTTTCAGTTTTCAAACTGCTTCTGACATATTTCCAGTGTTTGTTGCCAGTACAGTTTACAGAGCTTAAAAGCCATCAGTGTTTCTCAGAATTTAGAGTACTCTGTCCAGCTGTGCCTCACCGAGACCACTGACTTATAAGGAGATTGCTGGTTTATAAGAAGAGTTGGTAGCTATGGTTTATCACTGTGTCAAAGGAGAGATTCATTGCAACATGATTGATACTGATCAAAGCTAGCATTTAAATTTAAAAAGCACTAGGCTTAACATATCTAGTAAGTAATAGTTTTGTCACTCCTTGCTGATGTGCCTGCTTTTTTTTTTTTTTGCCCTTTTTTTTTTTGGACAACTGCATGTCTTCAATTGCCTGAAATAGGTGATTGAAGGAAAGGTGGGGGGTTTTTGGTTTGGGTTTTTTTTAAAGTTATTGTTATACAGTCAATGCCTTTAGTTGAGATAGGACTGGACAGATGGGGAAAAAAGGTAATCTCTGGCATGAAAAGTATGTCTGAAGCCCTGCCGATGGAATGACTGCTTCATTCTGCCTTACTTGCATGGTCTGTTATCCAGTATTGCAAGTAGATTAGCTTTAACACAAGGTTACGGCTGAATGGTCCTGTATATGGACATGATGTGCAAGAACAACCACAAGTTTGCAAATCCAACTGTAGGAATCCAATTTCAGTGCACAAGTTAGGATGCCAGTCTTCCTGTTCATTCAAAGAAAGATGCTGCTTCGAAGAGCACCCTCAGAGCACCTAAGTTGAGCCTATGTTCCAAATAAGCCTGTAGACAAGGGTCCTTACAAGACAGAGAATCTTAAAAATATAGCTTCTTAATTTAGACAGTTATTATAGAATAATTCTATAGAATAACAATATTAAAAATGTAAGTATTGTATTTATATTTTGGGATCTCTTTGTATTATGACAGCTTTTAAAGCATTATTAAGCATCTTTTGTTCTTGGAAATAAAGAAAGAGAGAAGTACATGCAGTTACTGTCTTGCAAAATATATATGCAAACAAGGCAGTAGTCCACAAACAGAACAGCTTAAAGGACACATGTGGCCACACCTTGTAGTCATTAAAATGACATTTTTTGGGTGCAATACAGTCTGTACAGGTATAGATTCATTTTATCAAGTTGCAGTAGCAACTCATTAATTCCTAAGTATGTTTGTTAAACTGCATGAAGTTTTTGTGGATACTTAAATATTAATTCTTAAAAATTAACATGGTCTGATTTCATAGGGGATGCTTCTTTGAGCAGCAGTTTGGACTAGATGACTTCCTGAGATCCCTTCCAACATGAATTTTTTCTACAATTCTATGCAGTGTACTACTTTATAAATGTTGGTTTTACTGTCACTTTTTAGTGAATGTATTGTCTAACGATTTAAGTACAATGTAATTTTTTATCCTTCACAATTTTGATGTCATTTCTTCATCCTTGCTGTTGGTCCTTTTCTCCTGGCTTTCTTCCTGAAAGACTGTTTCTTCTCTGTTCAGTAAGTACTTTTTCTACCTATTTTGCCTCTTAAAACAGAACAACTACAACAAAAAAAAAAAAAACCAAAACCAAAAACTTTGCTTTGTATATAACACATGTTATGAAACAACTTCAAATTAGCTTTAATATTCCCTATAATTTGATTGTTTTCTTTAGGTAACAAAAGCTGCAGTGGATCTGTACAGAGCTTATCTTCAACAGATACCAAAGATACACCAAAGGCTCCACCAAACCCTGATTTGCCTCCCAAAATGTGCAGGAGATTAAGATTAGATACTGCATCAAGTAATGGCTATCAAAGACCAGGATCTGTGTAAGTCATCAAGGCCCTTTGGAGATTTGTGTTGTTACAGTATTGTCTACTATAAAGTATTCTCAGAGAACTACATAAGTGGTTGAAGAAACATGCGTGAATACTTTATTTTAATATTTCTGTATTTGTGAACTATTTACCTAGCTTCATTAAAATTGTAAACAAAGGAGACACCGCACAAAGTCTGTTGAAGTCAGTAGAAAGATTCCCTTTAACTTCATTAGACTACAGATAAGGTCTATAATGAAGAAATGTATCTTTGGAAAGTGGTTAGTATTATTATCTCTGGTTCTTCTGGAATTTCATGTTTCAGGGAGCATAAATGCTACTTACTGTCCATGCTGTTATGTCAAGAAGATCATCAGATCTTGTTTCCAGATCTGCAGAGCACCAAGTTCCCCAAATAACTGCAGGACTCCATTCAGCCTCTCCACTTTTTAAACTGGAAGGGATCACTGTAGTCATTTCACAGACTGCTGTGTCTTAAACAGAGAATCATAGAATCATAGAATAGTTTGGGGTAGAAGGGAGCTTTAAAGGTCATCTAGTCCAACCTCCCGACAATAAGCAGGGACATGTTCAACTAGATCAGGTTGCTCAGAGCCCTGTCCAACCTGACCTTGAATGTTTCCAGGGATTCAAGTTCACATATAATATGAAAATTAATATAGGATATATTCATATAGGATATGTTCATCTTTTTTTAACTATCCTCCATGTGTTCAAATCAAGGAGAGGGAAATGATGCTACCAAACAGAGCACAGGTAATCTTAATGTCTAACTAAACTGTTCAGAATTAAATGTGCATCGATTCTGTATGACACTAAGAAACTTGAGATTCTACAGTTCTGTACAGTGACCGACCAGTCACGCAGCTTCTACATACCTGAAATTAAAATATTCTGCAAGTATCTGCACTTAAAAAGGAATCCTCCACAGGTCAGAGTTCCAGCATGATAGCGACAGACTGGCAGTAAAAGCATTTCCAATATATCTATTGGCCATCCATGAACAGAATTTTAAATATAGGATGTTGAGATTTCCCTTGCTGATTCAGCAGGGCACTAGAGTATGTGGAAGTCAGGCCCAAATTAGGTTATGCCCTTAAGAATTCTGATGAATAGGGGCTTGAATTCAGCTTTTTAATTTCCTTCAAATGAGGAAATAATTTTATTATTTAATTATTCTCTAAATTAATAACTAAAACAATTTTTAAAAATGTGTCCATGTCTTTAGATGATTAAAACTGAAGTTAGTCTCTGTGTTTTATTAATGGGCAAAGTATAAAACAAGATGGTGCTTTATTTTCAGAGTGGCTGCAAGAGCCCAGTTGTTTGAAAGTGCTGGTTCACTTAAGCAACTTTCTTCAGGACGGTAAGTGCTTCATAGTATTTAACAATTTGTAAAATCCTTTCTGTTTTGCTGGCTTTAAAGATTGAAATAGAAGTATTGGAGCTTTGTTCTGTGTCTTTTGGACAGCATCATGTGACATGCAGAATTTTTGTGGTTTTTTAAGCTCACCCTTGCTCCAGAAGAAAACTAAATCTAATAGAGAATCATAGAATAGTTTAGGGTACAATAGACCTTTAAAAGTCAGCTCGTCCAACCCCCCTGCAATGAGCAGAGACACCTTCAACTAGAGCAGGTTGCTCAGAGCCCTGTCCAACCTGACCCTGAATGTTGCCAGGGACGGGGCATTCACCACCCTCATTGTCAAAAATTTCTTCCTTAGATCTAGTCTGAATTTACCCTCTTTTAGTTTAAAACCATTACCCCTTGTCCTATTACTACAGGGCCTGCTAAACAGCCTGTCCCTATCTTTCTTATAAGCCCCTTTTAAGTACTGGAAGGCTGCAGTAAGGTTTCCCCTGAGCCTTCTCTTCTCCAGGCTCAACAACCCCAATTCTCTCAGCCTGTCCTCACAGGAGAGGTGTTCCAGCCCTCTGAGCATTTCTGTGGCCCTGCTCTGGACCTGCTCCAACAGGTCCACGTCTTTCCTGTGCTGAGGGCTCCAGAGCTGGAGGTAGTACTCCAGGTGGGATCTCCCCAGAGCAGAGTAGAGGGGCAGAATCCCCTCCCTTGACCTGCTGGCCACGCTGCTTTGGATGCAGCCCAGGAGACGATTGGCCTTCTGGGCTGCAAGTGCACATTGCCAGCTCATGTCCAGCTTTTCCTCCACCAGTACCCCCAAGTCCTTCTTAGCAGGGCTGCTCTTAATCCCTTATCCCCCAACCTGTACTGATACCGGGGGTTACCCCAACCCAGGACCCTGAACTTGGACTTGTTGAACCTCATGAAGTTCACATGGCCCCATTCCTCAAGCTTGTCCAGGTCCCTCTGGATGATATCCCGTCCCTCAGGTGTGTCAACCACACTACTCAGCTTGTTGTCATCTGCAAACTTGCTGAGGGTGCACTCAATCCCACTCTCTGTGTCATCGATAAAGATATTAAAGAGTACTGGTCCCAATATGGACCCCTGAGGGACACCACTCATCATTATCTCCATCTGGACATTGAGCCACTGACCACTACCCTCTGGACACCACCATCCAACCAATTCCTCATCCACCAGGTAGTCCACCCATATCTCTCAGCCTGTCTGGCTATTCTGTCACCTGGGGCAATTGTAGTGAGACATGCTTGGGTTAGTGATCTGATAGAAGACACAGCTACAAGAGTAAATTAAAAGGATTTAAATTAGGATAAGGGTGCTGTACTTATTCCATACAGCTGTTTGTATATACATGCTTTCAGCAGAGTAGTAAACATGCTAGTTTACGGTAATTCACTCATGTAGGCTAGTCCTGATCAACAGCTGCTTTAGAAAGCTCAGGATTAACTTGCTCAGGATTTCTGTCTTTCCCATCACACTTTCCATGCCTCAGTATTTGTCTGGAGAAATTGTTCCCCTTTCTTCTTGTTTTTTTTCAGGAATTATTTACATTTTCTTTACAATTGCATGCAATCCAATTTAGTGGATTTGATTCGTACTTATATTAATGTTCTGATAAGTGTTTGTCTAGGAAGCAGTATCTTCCATACATTACTAACCAGCCTACATTTAATAGGCTAAGGCAGATAGTCAAATAAATGGATGTGTGAAAAAGTCTGTCTCTGTTTTCACTGTCCCTGCATTTCAAGTTCTTTGAGAGAGAACATACCCTTTTGTCCATCACTTTACTTACTGATACTAGGAACTGTCAAGCTTCCTGGAACTGTCAAGCGATCAAAAAAATAAGTAAATAAAATGTTAACCCATGAATCCAAAAGTAGTAATCTAAAGTAACACAGCTGTAAATGAAGACGACAATGTGTGCTGTGATGTGCAGCAGTGGAATACGGCTGTCCTCTCTGACAGATCTAGCAGGGGTGAGAAGGAGAAAGCTGCCCTGCAAAGGCCACTGATTTTGTTCAAGAGAATCAGCTTGCATGAATCAAGGTTGCTCTTGTTTTGTGTAGTACATGAACTGTCAGGTGACCAAAAAAGAGGGTGGCAGGGGGGAAAGGGAGGTGAAAACAGCAGGGCATTAATTTAAGGAAGAAAAATATAAATGAGACTAGAATGCTCTTGAGCCAGTGCCCTAAACCAGTGAGCCCGAAGCTTCACCAGTCCTGCATCATTTCACCTCCACCACTATTCTTTCTCTTACTTTGTATTGCTCCCCTCTTGTAAACTCTCCCCTGTTTTTCCCTCAGAGCCTGTGCCACATGTATCTGTATATAAAAAACATGTAAGAAGCAAAAATGTGACAAAGGAAGAATGTAGCATTTTGATAATGGATATGGAGAGCAGATAACAAAGTCAAAAATGCTGAAAGGCTTAATAGCCACTCTAATTCAGCCTTCATAAGAAAGCAGAAGAGCAACAGTAACAAGGAGAATGGAAAACGAGAGGTCAGCAGGCAAAATGAGGAAGAAATAAAAAAGTAGCTCAGCTGTTTTTATAGTGCTACTCAAGTCTGAGTAAGATTTTGCAATTCAGAGCCATGTCGTTTACCTCTCATGCATGTTATGAATGTGAAGGCTGATTTAAAACTTTAGGATAGTCATCTTTTGCTCTGAAATATCTAGAAATCATGGTAATTACATCTTGATCCACCCATTAGAAAGGCCTCTGAGTTCATACCTCTAACTATCCAATGAGTATATGCAGTACAGACTGTAAGACAGAGAAACTATTTTTAAGATGTCTGGTTTGATACCAAAAATACTCAAGTCAAGATAGTGTTGAACTCTGTGCAGGGGTAATTTACACTGCAAAAAATAACTAGTTTTGAAATTTTAAGCTACAGCTTACCTGTACATTATAGTATCTAAGTAGCTTCATTCCTACTTGAAGCATCTGTTGCGTGTTGTGGTCTTTTGTACTAGATGCTTTACCACCACAGTGGTCTGGTCTTAATTCCTTCTCCCAATTAATCTTTGCAACCCTGCTTTCTGACTTTATATAATGCAGTACCTCTGATATGAGTGTGTGTGTATCCCCTTTGGTTTTTTTAATGCTGTTATAATTGACGTTATTTGACCTGGCTGTTTTCTCTCCTTGTATACGTGCGTACATGCCCCCATAGCACTACCAGTCTGAACAGATGTATTTTAGTCAGAAAGAGAATGAGAGGCCACAATACATGTACATGTTTTAGGTTTGGACGGGGAAGACCAAAATGTTATGCCCTGTCCAACCTGTGCTCTCTTTTTCCAATTCCAGAATTACTTTGACTTCTCAGTCTTCCCATTTCTTCCCTCCTGACTTCGAGTTTCTTAATCATAATAAAGGTTGTGCTTTGAGTGGCTTTGTGCTCTCAGCCACTGTGTATGCTGAGACCAACCCCTATTGCTAGTCTAGTATGCATTTGAAAGAGGTGGAGTTTTCTTATTGCTTTCACAAATATTGCAATTATTCAACAGTCTTAGTAAGGCCTGAAGTGTCTTTATTGCAACTTCTGTACAAAAACGCACCAACATGTAATCCCTGACTCTATGTTTTCTTGACTTTGATTTAGAGGTACACAGAAAGTCAGTAAGTTTCTCATATAAAGTGAGAAACTGCATCATAAGAGGAAGGATTTTCATTAGAAAAGAATACCTAGAAAAATGGGAAGGAGGAGCTGGTGACAGCAAACAGCTCTGTCTTGGCAGCAAGATCTCTAGGTGCTGGGCTGAGACTTTAATAGGAGTAGGCTGACAGTATGAAGCCCCATAGACCCATGCTCCCCTCCCAACCATATGATTAAATATCCTTTCTCAGTCATTCTTCTGTTTTTATTTTCATGCTGTTTTGCATTTCCTTAAACACCTGGAATGCCTTGATCAGCCCAGACCCGTGTTTTCTACTCAGTCAAGCTTGGCTGTAAGTCTTCCATCTCCAGGAGTCTATAAACCTTTATTCTTCCTGTAGGATAATATTAACTGATGAGTCGTCTGAGAGACATTCATGTGTTTTCCCTCATTCACTCCTCTTCTAGTTTCTGTCTTTGTCTTGCTAGACTGAAAACTCATTATGGCAGGAACATAGTTTTAAAGTTTATTTATAACTTTTAAAATAATTATTGTTGTTGTTGTTACTATTAGTATTATTATTATCGTCATCATCATTATTTAAAAGGCCTCAGGTGGTGTTGACGGTGTGTAGTCAAGCAAAATAGTTTATGATCTGATGGGTACAGACCCTTGACTGTTAATATCAGTTTATTGTTATGGGCTCAAAACAAACGTAATGAAAAGTAGGGAAAGGGAAGATGCATTTTTTTCTCATCTGGAGTCTATCCAGTAAAGTCATGGAAAGAAGGAACTAAGAAATGTGGCTACCATTTTCTGAAGTTGTTTTTTTTCTCTGCACTAAACCACATGAATCCCACTCTTCTCAGATTATTAGCATAATCTTTAGAGAACCATAATAGATGATGGTGATGCTTTTTAACAAACAGCCTTGTTTGTAGGGAGAGAGCATTAACACCATAAGTAAGAATGTCCATTTCCATAATCGAACACGACAAAAATGCCCAAGAACCTGCATGACGTTTTCCTTGCTAATGCTTCTAACTGGATAGGGTTGAAGTGAGTCATAACTAATAAGAGAACCTAAATAATCAAATCAAGTGTGGTGGCAATAACCAAGGGCTTGAATATTGCTCCAGAATTATGAGTAAATATTCATAGAATCTGTCTCTCATTATACCATCACACACAGTTTGTAGATAACATTGAGGTGTAATTACTGTGTGTCAGGAGCAAGGTGGTGGGAAGAATTCTGTAATTCTTGAGCTTTTGAGAAACTGACTTCTTTGTACCTTACGTTTTTGTATCTGTCTAAATGTCAAATGTTGGGAAGCTTTATCTTTCCAGAACTGAGCAAGTCAGAGTCCACGTTTTCTTATCTTCTTTTTATTTTGAAAGTAAACATACTCGGATCAGGTAAAATTAGTAACTGAAAACAGAATAGTTTAGTAGACATAAGAGAGTATAGAAGAAAACTGCATTTTTTGGTCTTAATTTTTTCTAAGGGCACTAAAAAAACAACATGTCATATTTCAAACATAACTTAAATAATTCTGCCTCACATTTAAATATTGCTGTTCTGTTTTATTATTGTCTTAAATGTCTCTTGTCACAGTATTACTCAGATGTCCCATTCTTAACATGGGAAACTGGCTTCATAGTCATGCTGTTTAGTAAAATCAGGATTGAAGTAATGTCTGAGCTTTAGTAAATTCATTACTGATTATTTTATATTCCTTGCAACTATAATCATTATTAACAGTTAGTCTACTGTTTGATATGTGTAAAATCCATGATTATGCTACATAGGAAATAGCTGTTTTGTCAGACATGGCGATCTGGGTTAGTATAATTAGAACAGCTATAGTGATCTTTGTTATATTGACTTTGAGGAAAAACGACCTTGAGATTAAAGAATTCAATTCTAGTTTATGTGTGACCTTCAGTAAAGTCATCTAATCTCCCTCTGTATATTTTAATATTTCTAATGTAGATTATTATGTATAAATTTGCATGTATTATGTACAGTAATGAAGCTTCACACCCATCTGGTTGACTGTAGATGGCATAACAGTAGACACCAAGGAGTTGTCTTGGAAAAATGCTAAGTAGAGCAGTCTACACCAGTCAGAAAGCAAGCTAACATTTAAGCAAAGTAGATAAACAGGGGTCCAGTGCTCATGGTGTTTTCGTTAGCAGTGGGGATGTATCCAGAATGACAGCACTGAGAGTTAGAAATGTTTTCAGCATCCTGAAAATAAGGTGCCCTTGGATGTCAAGGGCACGACTCAAAATTCTTGACCTCTTCTGGAAATCTCAGCCTGAAGGTCTAGCCCTTGGTGATTCAGTTGTTCACTTAAGATGAAGGCAAAACACACCACTTGGTCTAGTCATAAATCCACTTCAGACCTTTTTATTCAGAGGGAGGAATCATTTCTGGAAAGCTCATGCATACAAACTTGGGAATTTGTCCATCCACTCATACCCTTTTAGAGATTCATATGAATGATGATGTGCTCGTACTGATTAGCATCAGAATATGAGGCCAGGGTAGAGGGATGCTCTCTGCTCCCTTTAGGCAGTCTGTCCCTGCTTAACCTCACCAGGGACATGTGGAACTCCAAAGGTGAAGTGCCATGGGCCCCACTGGCAGAACACAAAATAAAATAAGACTTCTTATGCTAATGCTTATGATATTGCACTATTATTAATCTAATGTATGACTCTGTTATCTCACTATTTTGGGAGGAAAGACAAAATAGATTACATTCCACTTGCATATACACCCTCTCAAAAAGTATGCTAGAAATTTTAAACTTCACCACAGGTCACATACTGGGTCACTGAGATAAATCGTGGCTGGAAGGAAGATTGAATCAGTAATGCCCTATCACATCTTACACAGGTGAAATAATCAACAAGTTCATCTTCATTTGGTATAATATGGGTTTCCAATAAGTGTAAGGAAACTCAAGAAAGCTAATGGATCATGTAAAAATTGCTTTGAGTATATAAATTAAAGGAAAGATATTAGGTAAAGCACAGCAATCCAGAGAGAACTCCTAATTTCCATCTTCGTGTTCAATCCTTCATTTTGTATTTTGCAGAACCATGGTGCTAGAAGCCATATCAAGAGGTGACCCAATCTGTCCTCCTTCTCTGGGATAGAATCATTATATATCTAAATAGTTCTTTTACAGATATCTACGCAGTGACTTTTTTTCAATTTTTTTTTTTTAATTAAATTTTAGTAATGGCAATTCTTCGATTTGGGATTCTCCAATTTTTGACAGTTCTAGTGCTTCACTACTCTAACCAATAGAGGGGTTTTCCAGCTACAGATTGAGAGAAATAAAATTAGCTACCTACCTGTAGGTGTCTTCATGTCAGGTATTGTTTAAAGAAGTATTTCACTGAAGGTTTCACTACAGACAGTGGAGCCTGGTGAGCCATTTGTTGCACTGTCAAGTAGCATCTACTCTAGGAGAAGCCAGGCCTGGAGGGTCTGTGGGGCTAGGCATGTAGGTTATTTCCAGACACCTAAATTTAGGAGGTTGAAGCTGAAACCCACCTGTGGTGGGTTGACCCTGGCTGGATGCCAGGTGCCCACCAAAGATGCTCTGTCACTGGCCTCCTCAGCTGGACGGGGGAGAGAAAATATAACAAAAGGCTCGTGGATCGTGATAAGGGCAGGGAGAGATCACTCACCAGTTACTGTCACAGGCAAAACAGGTTCGACTTGGGGAAAAAAATCAGTTTAATTTATTACCAACCAAATCAGAGTAGGATAATGAGAACTAAAACCAAATCTTAAAACCCCTTCCCTCCACCCCTCCCTTCTTCCCGGGCTCAACGTCACTCCCCATTTCTCTCCCTCCTCCCCCCGAGAGGCGCAGGGGGACGGGCAATGGGGGTTGTGGTCAGTTCATCACACCTGG